AGGTTCGAGACTGCCAGCCACCAGTTTGCAGGAAGGCGAGTGAGTGGTAGACGCATAGCTTGGAGTGGCGGTGTAGCGGCTACCACCTGGGAGGTGTAGGATTCCTGCCCACTCCCAGTGGAGTCGCTGCTACCTGTCAATCCGTCCTCGATGGGCATCTGACTCCACATCCTGGCCTGTTCCTTTTTTAAAAATTATAGTTAGGGGTTAGGAGTGAAGCACCTGGCAGTAAAGAGTCGCATTCATAATTCACTATGCAGACCAGGCTGGCCTCCTACTCATGACAATATTCATCCTTTAACCTCCTGAATGCTGAGATTACAAGTTTGAGCTACTTAATGCCTGTGTTTCAGGATATTTGATCACACTGTGAAGCCTGAGATTATGTTATTTACTGGAAAAGCCTGTTTCTAGTTGTGGTGTGGCTTAGCCATAGCATACACCTTTAATTAAAGAGTTTTCTGTTTATTGTAAACAGAATTAAAGTCAGTCATAGGCCAAGAGGCAGAGCAAGCAACCAGTTGACAAGAAGTGAACAAGAAAAAACAATAGACAACGAAAGGGAATCAGGAGGATGGCTAGAGATGCACAGGAAGTAGAAGAGAGGGACATTCAGTTTGAGTTTTTTTGTTTGTTTGTTTGAGATGGTGGAAGAGAGAGGGAGCTTTTTTCAGGGATGTGAACAGAGAAGAAAGGTCAGCATGGTGCTTTCTTTGCCTCTCTGAGCTAGCAGGCTTTTGTCCCAGCATCTGGCTCTTGAGTCTTTATTGGTAAAATTGAATGACTGAGATTTAGTTAAAAACAAGATGCCTGGGTTAGTTAACCCTTCTTAAAGCATTCCTCTTAGAATTGGTAAAATGCTGCACCCACATATGTATACTTAAGACTTTTGTACAGTTGGTATCATTGTTCAATGTGCTATATCTTGGTTTTCATGTTTGTTTATTTGTTTAATATTTACTTATTTGTTTGCTTGGGACAGGATTTCCCCGTGTGGTTCAAGTTTCAATCCACAACCCTCCTGCCTCTGTTTTCCAGTTACTGGGATTACAGGTGTTTACCAGGTTCTTTTTGAAAAAAAAAATGTAGCAATGTATCTTTTGTTTTTAAGGCTTACTGTACTTATAGCTGTGTCTGGGTGGCTATGTGCACCTGAGTATAGGTGCCCATGGAGCTCAGAGGCATCAGGCATCTTTGGATTTGGAACTGGAGCTACAGGCAGTTGTGAGCTACCTGATATGGGTCTTTGGAATTGTACTTGAGTCCTCTGTACAATCAGGAGTGTTCTTGGCCTCTGAGCTATTTCTTCGGCCCACAACAATGTGTCTAAAGACCTTTCCATAGCTTTGTGTATCTTTGTCTCATTTCTCTTGTCATTGATGTCTGCATTAAAATTTTATTGAATGGAGAAAGGAAGAATAATTATGTAGCAAGTCCTTTATTAAGAAAAATTGTAATTGTTTCCAAGGTATTTTTCTTTTCCCTTGTTTTTGCTCATATTATATATAAACACATACAAACACACACACATAATGCATATGGATAGTAAATTAATTTCTATTTGCTGAGATTGCTTTTTCCTTTTCAGTTATACAAGTTACTAAAAGTTTTAAGACAGTTTAAAAATATTATCTATTTAGTGTGTGTGTTTATGTATGTGTGTGTGTGTGAGAGAGAGAGAGAGAGAGAGAGAAAGAGAATCTATAGGAGGTGCTGGTGGAATCTAGAAGGCAGATTTGGATCTCCTGGGACTAGAGTTATAAGTGACTGTGACCACCCTGTGGGTATTGAGAGCTAAACCTCGGTTCTCTAAGCCCAGTAAGTCCCTGTAGCCACAGACCCATCTCTCCAACACCCTCAGAAAGGAATTTTAAGTAGGAAAGTAGAATGATTGATCTAAGTTTAGAAAGGTCCCTACATGGGCTGGAGAGTAGACATAGTGGTTAAGTGCATGGGCTCCTCTTGAAGAGGACTGGGGTTTGAGTCCAGCACTCACGTGATCGCTCACAACCACCTGCCACTCCAGTCCCGGGGTTCTGAAGCCCTCATCTGATATCTGCAGACACCAGGGACTCACACAGTGATGAACAAGCATGTAAGCAGGACAAAACACTCAGATACATAAAAATAACAAAATAGAGTTGGATGGTGGTGGCTCATACCTTTACTCTCAGCACTCAGGCAGAGGCAGGCAGATCTCTGAGTTCGAGGTCAGCCTGGGCTACAGAGCTTGTTCCAGGACAGCCAGGGCTACAGAGAGAAACCCTGTCTTGAAAAAGCCAGAAAAAAAATCTGGAGTAAAATCAATTAATTCAAAAAGAAAGATCACTACTGTCTAAGTAATTAGGAAGACCCATGACAGCTCTGAATGTTCATTGTCACTAAAACAAGAGGCTGAGACTAGCATGCTTGAAAGTCTCCTTTTTCCCAGCTCTGAAAGCACACAGATCTCAATTCAATTATCTAAAATTGCCAGGGAATAAACTGTGTTGGGTAATAATGTATTCTGAAAAATTTATTATGTGCTTCCACTTAAAAAAATAGTATCTATTTTGAGATGGAAAATTAATTGAGATTTATTGGATACTGATTTCTTAATGTAGTATGATGATTCAGTTTTAGCTTTCTTTACAGTGTAAATAATAGTGGCTAATTAAAAGAAACGAGCTAATTTGAGAATAAAAGTCCTTTTCTCTCTTCTCTTCCTCTTTCTCCTCTTTCCTCTTTTGCTCTCTCTCTGAGAAAATTTTGCAATCTAGCCCTGGGATACACTATGTGGAGCAAGCTGGCCTCCAACTTGTAGCAACCCTTTTGTCTCAGCCTTGTGAGTGCTGGGATTATGAGTGTGTGTCACTGTGCCTGGCCTGGAGAATGACAATCTTCCTCTTCTCCCCTGTTCTTCTCTTGTGGGATTTGGGATTGATCCAAGGGTCTCATGCCTGCTATGGAAATGGCCTACCACCAAGCTACGTCCACAGCCTGAGAGCTCTTTTCATTTGTTTGGTTTGTGAACAGGGTCTCTCTCTATAGCCCTGGCTGCCCTAGAACTTGTTATATAGATCAGGCTGACCTGGAACTCAGAGAAATACATTCACCTGCCTCTGTGTCCCGAGTGCCAGGACTAAAGTGTAGGTCACCATTCCTGGTGCCTGGGTTCTTGCTTGTGCTTTTTCGTTTTTCTTTTGGGACTCCTGAAATAGAGTCTCTCTATGAAGTCGGCCTGGCTTTGAATTTACACTCTAACTGCTTCAGCCTGTTGAATGCTAGAATTATAGATGTGTGCCATCATACTAGACCAAATGTCTTAACAGTCATAGCAACTTTTGTTTGGTTTAAGATTGTGTTTTACTTTTGCGTGTGAATGTTTTGCCTGCATGTATGTCTGTGCACCGTGCGCATGTCTGGTGCTGAGGAGGTTAGGAGTCTCTCAGATTCCTTGAGACTCAAACTGCAGACAGTGTGTGCTGCCACGTGGGTGCTAGTCATTGAACCCTTATCCTCTGGGAGAGCAGCCAGTGCTTTTGAACACCGAGTCATCTCTCCAGCCCCTGGTTATTTTATTTTAAATTATTTCGTGTTTAATTATGTGTCTTTGTGTATGAGCTTGTGAGTGAGGGTGCTGAAGGAGGTCCGGAGAGAGCACTGAATTTCCTGAATGACAGGCAGTTGTAAACCACTCAGTGTGACTGATGGGAGCTGAATTTAGGTCCTGGGCAGGAGCTGTATGCACAGACAACCACTGATCCAGAGATTCAGTCCCCTGACAGTAACGTTCTGGGGACCCAAACTCTAGTTCTCCCATTTTTCACAGAAAGCTCTGTAACCACTGAACCACACCCCCAGTCCCTACTGATATATTTATATTTGCGATAGGGTCTCATATAGTTCTGGCTGGTCTCATACTCAATATGTAGCTAAGGGTAACCCTGAACTCCTAATCCACCTGTCTCTACCTCCTAGGTGGTGGGATTACAGTCTTGTGCCACCATCCCTGGCTTATAATTTATTTATTTTATTTGGTTATTTTAAAAATCATTATACAAAGCAACAGAATTCATTACAGCATTTTTTTTGATACTCTCCCAAAGATGTCAGTTTCCTAACACTGTGGCAAAATCAAATGAGCACTTAACCTTGAAAAACCAGCAACTTTGCTGTCACTGAAAACAATCCCCTCCCTAGACCTGCATCCTTAGCTTGTTCATATAATATGGTAAAGAAATGGATGATTTTGTTGTTGTTGTTATCTGTCAAGCTTTAAGGGAGATGTCTAAGTTTACTCTGTTTGATAAACACCAGGTTCAAAAGGAACTTGGGGAGGAAAGGGTTTATTTTATGTTTTCAGGTCACAGTTCACCACTGAGGGAAGTCAGGGTAGGAATTCAAGCAAAAGCATGGTAAGGACCGTGAGCCAAAACTGCTTAGCGACTTGCTCTCCTGCTTGCTCCCAACCTTCTGGGGACCTATCCAAACCCAGGCTCACAGCCCAGGCCCACCAGCCTAGGGATGGTAGCACCTACGGTGGGCAGCGGCCCTCCACTATCAATTAACAACTAGGAAAATGTTCTACAGACGTGCCTACAAGACGATCTGATGTAGGCAGTTCCTCAATTGAGGGTCCGTCTTCCCACCCAAAGGGTGTCAAATTGACAACCAAAATTAGCCATCACTGGGAGAAATCAAAACACCTAATGGTCAAGTTATCTGCACAAATCTCAGTGAAAATACTTTGTAATTCTAGGTTTTAACGTTGAAGAGCTCCACGTTGAAAGATGGAGTCTGCAGAAGGTGGCGAAGCACCACCTCCTCAGAGCGAAGAAGCTCCTCCTCCGATGGAAGAGGAAGCTCCGCCCGCTCCATCTCCGGGCGACACTGCCCCGCCCCCTCCCGAGGAGCAGGCCCCGCCCCCTGAAGAGGGCGAGGCCCCGCCCCCTACGGAAAAGGACTCCCAGCCAGCTCCTGAAGGAGAGGCCCCGCCCACCCCGGCCACAGACGCCACGCCCCCCTCTGGACAGGACGCTGGTCTTTCAATGACTGACTACAGGAGTCTGATTCCTTCAGACGAGGAGCTAACGCTGACCGACGATGCAGGGTCTAGCCAGAGCAGGGTCCGACCGAGACTCGCCCCGAGGCCTGTGCAGTCAGTGCTGTCGGATGGGATTTCTCTTTCTCAGTCTTCCCGGCGGTCCTCCAAGTACCACCGAAGTATGAGTGGCATTCCAAACCTTCAGGAGACCCTCAAAGAGAGACAGGTTTGCCGCTGATAGGGCTTGTGGTGGGAAAGCTCTGAGACTTTCCATGGTTTGAAAATAAATTTTTCTTTCTTTTTTTAGTTTTTCAAGACAGAGTTTCTCTGTGTAACAGCCCTGGCTGTTTGTAGAACAGGCTAGCCTCAAACTCATAGACATCCACCTGCCTTTGCCTACTGAGCGCTACATTTTCTTCATACTTAACATTTTTATACATGTTTTCACTTCTTTTAGGCAAGATTCAGAGAAGCAAGGGAAAGCCGGAAAATGAGAATCGATCCCTCATACAAATACATATTTGAAATTCTAGCAGAGAGGCTTGGGCTGGACATGGTAACCGTGGAAGAACTAATTTTGGATTGTCCATCGGTAAGCTGAAGTCTTGCCATCATTTGTTTTTTGTTTCCCTTTATTTGGGGCTGTGTACTTGTGTGGGGGTGTGCACGAGCTTGGGTGTGTTCCTCCATCACTCTCCGCGCAGGAGATGTGTGTATTAAACAAGAAGCGCCATTGTGAACAACTGGATGGAAATAGGGTGTGGTTTTCAGAAACAGGATTGCTCTGTTGGTCTCATGTCCCAGCCATGGTTCCTGAACTTGTTTACTGAGGAAAGATGGGCGAGCCACCCTGTTTTCCCGCCAGAAAATTGCTAGGCCATTTTGGCTCCCTCTGCTGGAATCCTCACGCCTCTACAGGAGGTGTAGCTGCAGCCCTTGGGGCCTGAGCATGGCCTTTTTGGGACAAATGGGTGATGTGAGTGAGTAGGACCGGACTGCAGGGTCGGAGAGCCTGCCTTAATGATAGCCAGCTGGATTTTTGGGCTTGCGGGCCCTGTTTGCGAGAAGACGTTCTCATTGGCTATCATGCTAGCACGGGAGTGGGAGAGGAAGCTTGTGCATGCAAACCCTCTGCGTTATTACTTTTCTGTCGCCGTGTTAAAACGCCAAGACCAAAAGCAACTTAGAGAAGAAAAGATTTATTTTGGTTTTGCCGCTCCAGAGGGATAGAGTCCATAATGGTGGCAAGCAGGGAGGTGACAGGAACAGGAAGCTGCTGGTCACATTTTTCTCCACATACTGGAAGCAAACAGAACAGGAAGTAGGGTCAGGCTTTAAAGCCCCAGACCTGCTCCCCACTGACGTACTTCCTTCAGCAAGGCTGCACCTCCGAAAGGTTCCATAACCTCCCCAGAGAGCACCATCACCTGAGGCCCAAATGTTCAAAGTTATCAGGCTGTGGACAGGTCCCATTGAAGGCGTCTCACCTCCCATTTTGCTTTCCTGAAGTATATCTCACATTTGGGACTGTATGGTTAGGTACTACCTTCAAGGCCTCCACCGAAGAAGTCAGACTTTGCTTAGGATCCAGGAAATAGGAAACACGGATGTTGAAGGAAGCATCAAGCCAGAGCAGGTACTTCCTGCTTCCTCTCTGCTATCGTGCTAGCGTGATATGAACACGTAAGAGGACCTCAGGTTGATCCCCAGAACCCATGTTAAAAAAATAAAAACAAGATGACCACCACTACCACCACAACCAATCTACCAAGCAGCCTGGCTCAATGGCACGTCCTTGTAATCTCAGCTAGGGAAGTGAAGACAAGTGAGTCCCTGGGTCTCAATGGCCAACTGGCCCAGTCCATCTGGTGACTATCAGAACAGCAAGAGACCCTTTCTTAAACAAAATAGGTGGACAGCGCCTGAGGAACATCCGAGCATCCCTTCTGGCCTCCATAACCCCCCCCACACACACACACGTGTGCATTGATGCCTACACACACAAGTGCACATACGCACATATACCTCTTCATGTGACTGCCTGATCCACACAAAGTTTGAAATCCACGGCCCTGAGGAGTCTGGCTTTGTGGTGCCCCATCCTCCAAGCTGTAAGCGGAGAGAAAAGCTCTCCTCCAAGAGAAACTTCCATATGGAAACAGAGGAAGGGAGAGGCAAGCATGCTAGCTTGTTATTTCTCTTAGGATGTTGATGCACGTCTGCCTGTGTGGCCCCTTTCACCTTCTGCTTTCTAAGAGATCACACTGACCCTTCAGAAGTCGAATACAAGCTTTATGCTCATAAGTATGAAAGAGTCTCATGACAATACTTGTTTTTTAAAAATATTAGTTTAAAAATATTAAAATATTAATATTAATAACTAATATTAAAATATTGGTTACAATATGAGTCAAGTTATAATTGCTGAAAGGACTGTTGCTTACTTAAATAATCTGTCAAGCAAAACCATTAGTAGAGGGTTTTCTGTTCTCCTTCTCAGCATTTTTTTTAGATTTATTTATTTATTTATTATGTATACAGTGTTCTGCCTGCACTCCCTGCAGGCCAGAAGAGGGCACCAGATCTCATTATAGATGGTTGTGAGCCACCATGTGGTTGCTGGGAACTGAACTCAGGACCTCTGGAAGAGCAGCCAGTGCTCTTAACTGCTGAGTCATCTCTCCAGCTCCCAGCTGCAACTTGGCTTTCTTAATAGTTCCTTGTGTTTACCTCCACTTGGGCTTAACCTCTCTTACAACATCCTTTAAGGCTGGGTCAAGTAAGTGGCTAGGAAAAGCTTTATGTGTAGATCATTAACGTAGAACCAACCCATCTCAGTGGGATCATTTAAACCCTGGAGTTAGGGGCCAGCCTGGGCAGTATGGAAAGACTGTCCATCCCTGCCTTCCTCCTTCCTTTCCTTTCTTTCTTCCTTCCTCATGTCTCTCAAGTCTCAGGCTTTCCTATTCCAGACTGGTCAAGAACTCCATACATAGCCTAGCCTGGCTTCAAACTCTTGCTCTCTATCCTCAGCCTTCTGAGAATGATTATAGGTGATCCTAGGTGTGTGTCACCATGTCCAACAGGAAGATATTACCTCTTTAGAAAGCAGGCTGGTGGTGGCTGGGGAGATGGTTCAGTTGGTTCAGTAAAACACTGGCTCTGCTAGTGAAAATGCCTGTGTTTACTCTTCAGAGCCCGTGCGAAATGCCAGGCATAGTGGAATGGAAACAGGCAGATCTCTGTAGCTGATTGGACAGCCAGGGGAGCCTTATGTAGCGAGATCCAGGTCAACCTGTCTCAAGCAAAAACAAAAACAAAAATGAGGTAGATCTAGAGCAATGATACTCTAGGTTTACCTTTGGTCTACACACACACACACACACACACACACACACGCACACACACATACACACACACCCCTTCCCATGTGCATGTGCATACATTCCCCAGTCATCCTCCCAGCCAACCGATCAACCAACAGTCCAAGTGTGCTGTTTGGGCTTTGTCGACTTGATAGTGTCAGAGGGCCAGTCCACTGTGGGCAGTGCCATCCCTGGGCAGGTGGGCCCGAGCTGAACAAGAAAGGTAGCTGAACAAACTGGGGGAAGCAAGCCAGCAAGCAGGCTCTTCTTCAGGTCCTACCTCCATGTTCCTGCCTTGCTTCCCTCAATGATGGGCTGTAACCTGTAAGATGAAATGATTTATTTTAATCTTCCCAAATTGCTTCTCAACAGCAACGGAAAGCCAACTAGGACACCAAGCCATGAAATTTACCTGTCCTCCCTGCTGTCTCTAGTGGGGTTAAGTTAGTTGAGTGTCTGCCTTTTTTCACATGTTCCTGCTTTCTGAGCTCTCTATTCCCACCCTGCCCCCACCAGCTTTCTTTTTTCACTTTTTATTTTTAAGAGATCTCTCTAAGTTACCTGAGCTGGCCATGAATTCACGCAGTATCCCAGGCAGACCTTGAACCTGTGATCCTTCTGCCTCAGCTTCCCGAGCCATGGGGCTCACAAACCTATGCCACCAGGCCCTTTAGAAAGGTCTTTCTTATTTTCTCAATCTGAGAAGGGGCAGGGATTAACTAAGGTACTCAAAGCAGCAGTACATGAGTTATTTGCCCAGAAAGCCAGTATCATTTTATTGATCCTCATTTTTTTTCTTTCATTTAACAGCTGGATGCATTCAGCCGCTTTTTTGAGAAAGGCGGATGTAAGACACTGAAATTTTTTTATCAGGAAGGAGAGGTTCCAGGTCTTGGTAAGGGTGTTTTCTTTACCTTTGGTAAGGATGTTTTCTGAGGGCCCTGGGCTCCAAGTGAGCTGGCTAATGTTAAAGGGTAACCTAATTTTTCTCTTAAGCTTAGAAGATTTCCACTTTTACAGCAAAAACTTGAAAGTATTTGAGGGGTTGGAGATGTGTCTCAGCTATTAAAAGCACTTGCAGCTCTTTCAAGTTCATTTCCCAGCACCCACATGATGGCTCCCAACCATCAGTAATTCCTGTTCCAGGGGATTTGATTCCCCCTTCTAGCTTCCAGTGGCATTGCATGCTTGTGGTACACAGGCATATGTGTTGGCAAAAACACAGTGAAGTAAAAGAAATCTTTAAAAACATTAGCTTAAAAATACTCCAGGGTCATCAAGATGGCTCATCAGGTAAAGGCATCAGCCACTAAGCCTGGTAACTGGACTTCAATCTAGGACCCACATGGTCGAAGGGAGAACCAGCTCCTACATGTTGTCTTCTGACCTCCACGTGCATGCTTCAACACATATGTGTGTCAACACAAAATAAACATAATACAAAATTCCATTTTCAGAAGCAATTATTTGAGACCTTGCTGTCATGATTTTGGAAGAGATATCAGAGACATTCCAACCTCTACTGGGAAATATACTTTTCCATTAGAATTTAATTGCAGTTTCCTGGAACAGGTGGACCATTTTGTCCATATGTTTTCAGATGACTTGAAGTAGTCACGATGCCTCTTTGGAGCCCAGCAGCTGCCCCTTGTGGCTCTGACTCAATGCCTTATGGCTATTGCAGCTATTAAACGCACATCTGGCTTTCCTATATTACTCCGAAGGTAATTAGCATGCAACCAGGTTGCTATGCCTTTGTTTCAATAACTCGGTACTTGGGTTGTCCTTTCCCTCTCAGACTGCTTTTAAAAAATAGCATGTGTGTGTCCACGTGTGTTGGTATGTACTCAGGTGCTCCTGCATGCATGCATGCGTGTATGGGGTACTGGGGCCAGAGGACAACCTCTGGTGGCATCCTCGGGAATACTGTCTGCCTGCTTTGAGACAGGTCCTTGCGTTGGCCTACAACTTGCCCGTTAGGATAGACTGCCTGCTCATTAAGCAATCACTTACCAGGCCGGCTCAGTTCTGTGGCCGTGTTTGTTTTCAGAGTGTGGCCGAACGATCACTGGCGTACCCAAAGGGGCAAAGATGATGAGAATATTTGTGGACAACGCAGCTCCAGACAAGCTGAAAGGACTGTGCGTGTTTTTTGTTCGCTGTCGCAATGACGTTGCCCTCAACTCTAAGACCATTTATGAGGTACGCTTTAAAACACTGGCAGGTTGTCGTGTTTCCCCAGTCCCTCTATCTCCGTTTCTATGTGGAAGACTGGATTGGGTTCCAAGAAAATGGTGCATGTGTATACTCGAAGAAACTACGGTACTGGCTTTACAAGCGCTGAGTTGTTGTCGTCCTACAGATACAGCCTTTGAAAGTTTATGTTCTGAAAAGATTTGGAAGTTTATGTTTTTAAGACAGGGTTTCGTACAGCCCAGGCTGGCCTTGAACTCAAGCTTTAAGTATGTGTGTATGTGTGTATATGTATATATATGTATGTATATATATGTGTGTGTGTATGTATATGTGTGTATGTATATATATTCATGTCCTTGAACCCCTAGCCCTCTCCTCCCACCTCCACTCTCTTCTCAAGGGCTGGATTTGCAGGCATGCGCCACTGTCCTAACTTTCTTCCAGTTTCTGCAAGTAAAATACTGGCCCAAAGCAGTTTGGGGAAAAAAGGGTTTATTTCCCTTCCTCTTCCAAATCCCAGCACAGCAACTGAGGAGAGTTGAGGCAGGACCTGAAGCAGAGACCATGGAGGAGCCCTGCCTATTGACTTGCTCCCCCTCGACTGACTCAGCCTGCTTTTATACAATGGGGGCATCTGCCTAGGGGTGGCCCAGTGGTTTGGGGCCTCCCACATCGATTAACCAGGAAAACAGCTCTCAGGCCCATAGGCCAGTCTGCCTGAGGTAGTTCCTCAGCTGAGCTTTCCTCTTCCCAGGCAACTCTGGCTTACGTCGACTTGATAAAAAATGAACCAGCACAGCCACCAGCTCTGAAGTCTATGAAAACTTGCCATCTTCTGTATGGTGTGCACAGAATTACCATGTGCCCACTCTTCAGGGACACATTCACGTCTGTCCATACAGTCTTAAGTACTAGTTACTACACCTACTCTTTGCTCAGCCTTTTAAATATTCAGTCATTTTAGGAGAAGAGGGACCTGACTTCTAGCCATTGCTAGCCTAGTCAGGGGCTGGACTGCAGGATGGAAACAGCAAGTGGACTTACGGAGATGAGAGTTTGCCTCCAGGTTGTTTCCTTTGGCAAGTGGCTCATCATTTCGGAGACATGGGCATGCCTGAACCAGGAATAGCGGCCTCCCATCCTGATTGGCTGTAGATCCTCAAAAGGCTCCCATCCTCTCTCAGGTTCTTAGGGCGGCTTGCTGCCTTGTGCAGTGGGCCGTGTAGCAAACCCAGTGTAAATCACAACAGGCTTCTTTCCTGTTTGGGATCAAACACAGCCTGGCGAGAGGTGGTTGAGGAGGGCACTTGTCCCCCCTGGGCCCTTGTAGGTATTTCCCTGCGTCTCCCGTGGGTGAGACCTCCGCTGTCAACTAGTGCCCTTCGTGAGGAATCTGCCCCCCCCCCCCCACTTCTCTTCTTTTCTTTTTGTTCTGAGGATCTGCTGGCCAAGTGTTCTCCTATTCAGTTACACCTCCAGCCTTCTTTGTTTTTGAAGGAAGGGTCTCACTATGTTACCCAGACTGGCCTTGAAACACCTGGGCTCCAGCAAACCTGCCTCAGTCTCCTGCCTACCTGGGACTACTATTGTCTGTGGCAATCGCCTGCTTCTACCTCCAGTTTTTTAGGGACGTGCAGTTGTGTGTGCACACAGTTTAAAGAGGTATAGGTTCTTTGAGCCTTGTGATGCAGGGCTGACCTGAACCCCACTCCCCAGAAAGAGCCCTTGAGTCTGTTAGAGGGGGCTGGAGAGTTGGTCTTAGAGAGGACCCAAGTTCAATTCTCAGCACCCACACTGGGTGGATCATAATCACCTTTAACTCCTGATGCAAGGAATCTTATGCCTTCTTCTCTAGCCTTTGCAGTTGCTGCATTCATGGGCACAAACCTATGTACATATGCATGTTCTTAAGACAGTATAAAAATGTTTAAAATCTCTTTTAGAATATTCTTTCATTTACCTCTGCATTGCTAAATTTAGCTACCTCTACAGGTCTCTTTTTAACCATTTTAGGCATTATTGTAGGCTTTCCTCTATACATGAGAATTTAGTTTTTTTTAAGACAAAAAACCAGGGTCTCACTGTGTAACTCAGTGCCTTAATGGATTAAACATGTAACGATTGAATACCACCTTTCAGGATGTGCTATTTACTGTCTTGGATGCATCAAAAGGACTTTTGCAAGGGATCAGGAATATGCTGCAATACATATTTCTACCGGCTATTCTTGCAACGAACAACTGGGGCGCTTTAAACCAGTCCAAGCAGGGCGAATCTGAGAGGCATATTTTCACAGAAACCATCAATAGATATCTTTCGTTTTTAGATGGTAAGTGTAAGAATTAATGTTTGGTAAACAACTCAACGTGAGACCATTAGCTGCAAGGTACATTACTGGAAACAGGGTTTATAGAAGGGGTCTCCAAAAGGAGGTGGTAATAAAAGTCCCCAGGAGACCTGGGGATAAGAGGGGGAAACATGAGAAACCGTCATTACTAGGGAGCTCTGCAGGTAAAAGAGTAAGGGGAAGAATCTCCTCTTGTTCTTGGTCAAAAGTTTGCCACTAAAATATACGTACTTATGCTGGAGAGATGGCTCAGCAGTTAAGAGCATTTGCTGCTCTTGTAAAAGACCCAGGCTTGGTTTCCAGCACCCACATGGAACTTCACCACCTCCTGTAACTCCAGTTCCAGAGGATCTAGTGCTCCCCTGCTGGCCTCCATGGGTATTGCATACATGTGGTGCACATACATATATTCATGTACACAGAAAATATATACTTTTAAACTGTGCTTTATGGTGAGTTCTCTAAAATGTACTTTTATCACTTATTGCAAAAATATACAACTTTGTTCATAAGTCAACTCACAACCTTTTTTTTTCTCTTTTCCTTTTGAGACAGGGTCTCATGTAGCCTTATTTTGAAGTCCCTTTGTAGCCTAGGATGGCCTTAAACTCCTGATCCCTTGACTCCACTTTCACAAATATGGGGTGAAACCCAGTATGCTTGGTTTATGTGGTACTGGGGATCAAACCCAGGGTTTTATGCTTGCTAGGAGAGCACTCTGCCAACTAAGCTACATCCCTGCCTGTAGAATTGTATCTTTATAAAGCACTCTATCATACACGTTTCTCTAAATATTGCAGCTGTTGAAAATATTGCAGTTGTTGATATTTAATGTATGGGCACTTCTTGATACTGTATCATTTTCTTCTTTATACTGTATCATTTTCTTCTTTATACTGTGTCATGTTTTTAGGCGCTAGAATAAGCATCGAGGGCACGGTGATGTTAAAGAAGGTAGACAATATCGACTTCTCCAAACTGCATACCTTTGAAGAAGTCACAGCGGCAGCGAGCAACTCCGAGATGGTGCATCAGCTGGAGGAGGTGCTGATGATGTGGTACAAGCAGATCGAGCAGGTGAGGCCACTCCGTTAGGACATTGTGTCCCTGGTAGCTTGTGTTTTGCTAATACTCTCCATGAAAGACAGGGAGGGTGAAAATGACAGTGACCAGCCGCAGAGATCAACGCTGCGTAAGAACATTCTGGGTGACCAATGGGAGTGTGTTGCTGCTGTCAAATAGATTCTGCCTCTAGAATCAAATAGATTCTAGCCTAAAGTTGCTAGGCTTTTCATAGCAGCGTTTCAATGGCAAGACCACAGCAGTAAAAACAAACAAGAACATAGTATAAGTCAAAATTGCTGGGGCTGTGGAGGGTGCTTAGTGGTTGAAGTGCTTGTCATGCAAATGTGAGTGCTTGGGTGGAACCCCAGCACCTAGATAAAAGGCTGGTGCATTAGGCTGTGGTGGCGCCTGCCTTTAATCCCCTGCACTTGGGAGGCAGACCCAGGTGGATCTCTTGTGAGTTCAAGGTCAGCCTGGTGTGCAAAGAGAGTTCCAGGACAGCCAGGGCTACACAGAGAAACCAACAACAACAGAAAAGGCAGGTGTATTGGCTTGCACCCATAATCCCAGGACTGGGAGAACAGAGATGGGTGGATCCCTGACACTTACTGGCCAGATAGTCTAGCCTAGTTGGTGATCCCTGGTACCCAGTGAGAAACTCAGTCTCAAAACCAAGTATATAGTGCCACAAGAATGACAACTGGGTTGACTTGTGGCTTCCATTCAGCATGCATCCATAAGGGCATGCACACTCAATAGCGATGCAGATATTAAGAAGGGCAGACCCCTCTTGATTTAATAACCTCCCTAAGTCCTTACCTCCAAATGTCATCACACTGGACGTTTGAGTTTGGCGGGGGAGCATCAGCATCCAACCCATTGCCATGCCATGGGTATCACTTTTCAAACCCCACACCATCGTGTCACAATCCCTGTCATCCATTTGTTGGCTCACGTGCATTTTGTCCATTCTCTTAACTGATGTCTGGTAGTCCTCTACAAAGAAAGCATATTTTGGGACTGGAGAGATGGCTCAACACTTAGGGACACCTGTTGCTCTTGCAGAGGACTTGAGTTTAGTTCTCAGCATCCACAGAGCAGCTCCCAGCCACCTGTAACTCCAGGGGATCCGATGCCCTTCTCTGACTTCCATGGGCACTACAATGCATATGGTCCACCATCATACATGCAAGCAAGCACTCATGTACATAAAATAAATCTTTAAAAAGGAAGTGACCTTAGATGACAGAAAGAGCTACTTAAAAAAAGAAATTGTATTTTGTTTGATAGACTTTTCAATGTTTAAATTATGTCTGTTATCCATTATTTAAGTAAAGAGGTTTAATCTTCCATTCCCTCAGTAAGTCACTTCTACTTTTGCTGTCACAAAGGACGGGAATGCATATGCAATAGTAGTCTTTGCTGAGGCTTCCTTTACATGTGCTCAGGAGTCTTAGTGGAATCCCTCCGAGCATTTGAGTAGAGGGCTCTTATTGAATAGCATTGTGCCCTCCAAATAGTGGTTATTGTAGTTTTACTTTCAGTACTGTGGTAAAACACCCTGACAAAAAGGCACTCATGGTAGAGTGCTTGTCTCACACATATAAAACCCTAAGTTTAATTCCCAGCCTCACACACACACACGCACATGCACACACGCATGCACGCACACACAAACACACACACACTCACCCAAGTAAATCAAGGAGGATAGGGTTCACTTTGGCTCACAATTCCAGGCACCTACCCACCACTGTAGGAAAGTCAAGGCGCCAAGAATCTGAAACAGCTAGTCATGGAACATCCATCGTTAAGAGCAGAATGAAATAAATGCATGCTTACTCGTGCTCAGCTCCCTCCCTACCCGTATATATAGAGGTAATGTGTATATATACACACACATACACACATATATGGATATATATGTATATATATACATATATATATATGTAAGGATATATATATCCTTACATAGTCCAGGATGTCTTGCCTAGGGAATGGTGCCACCACGGTAGACCGGGTGGGTCTTCCCACACATTAGTTAAGGCCAGCCTGCTCAAGGCTATTCCTCACTGAGTCTTATATGACAATCAAAGATAACTGGTACAGTGGTGGTTGAGATGATTTATGTACTCTCCAGAAGCATATGGCTGCTCTCATTTCTTCAAGCCATTGTTTATAGCCGGGATCGTCAGATTGCCCTTATATCAGATGTGCACTGCTGTTTTGATTGACCTTGCACTATCCTGAATACAACTGGAGCTGAGCATATTAAATGACTGCTTAGGCAGCGTCTTTGTCGACTTGCCTGTTCAAATCCTTTGCTGAGTTTTCATTTGAATTGCCTGGCGCTATCTCATTGAACTGCTAGACTTTATTTACATACTCTTTCATAATCTTAATTCTTTGTTGTTCCCCCCTATGTCATGTCTTTTCATTTGGTGGGGCGTCTTTAGGGATATTAAAGTTTGAAATTTTAACAATGTTTATTTTGTTTTATTATGTGTATGAGTGTTTTGCCTGTGTATGTATGTGTGCTATATGCCAGCAGTACCCATGGCAGCAGAAGAGGGGCTACAGATAGTTGTGTGATACTCAATTGCAGGTCCTTATTGAGAGTGAGCAGATGAGAAAAGAAGCCGATGATTCAGGTCCACTCACTGAACTGGAGCACTGGAAACGTATGTCAGCCAAGTTCAACTACATCATCGAGCAGATTAAAGGGTCCAGCTGCAAGGCTGTCATAAATGTGCTAAATGTTGCACACTCCAAGCTGTTAAAGGTAAAAGGTCTTCGGTTGTTAACCTGGAAGTACTTTAGAACACCTTACCAGAAAATTACCCTTATCAAACGGCTTCTTAAAGTTTGGGCACGTATTTTGTGTGTCTATCACACAGATATTGCCCCACAAAGGCCCGAATGTTGGATAACCTGTAGCTGGAGTTACAGGCAGTTGTGAGCCACATGGCACAGGAGCTGGGGACCAGACTCAGAGCAGCAAACACAATGAACTGCTGAGCCATCTCTCTGCCCTCCACCTCACTCACTAAATAGGTGAGGCTGGCTGGTCAGAGAGCCCCAGATATTCGCCTGGCTCTGGCTCCCCAGCTCTGGGATGACATGTGTTTCATCGCACCCAGCTTTTTAGTCATAGATTCTGGGGGTCAAATGCAGGTCTTAATTTTATAAAGACACTTTAATGACTAAGCTCTTGCCCCCATCCCACAAGGATGCATCGTTTTGCATGTTCATTCTTTCGTAGAACTCTTGACGTAACACGATAGATGGTTTTAATCAGCAGTTATCCCTACTGTGCTATAGAAAAGCCAGAATGAGTTCCTCCTGTCTAGTTGTATTTTTGGGGTCCTCTCCAGCCTTTTGTGACCACCATTCCGTTGTGTTCTGTGGCATTAGATGGTTTCTCTAACACAGCAGTCAGGTGTTTAGAAGTGTGAAGCGTTTGAATCGGGCTTTCTTGTATACCACCGTAGTTTCCAGTTATAAAACAAAGATTTATTTCTCAGTTTTGACAGTTCATCTATGGAGTGCCATCCAGAGAAGTGATCATTTTTATTTTGAAAGTGTTTGGGGAATTGTAAATCAGTGTACACTTGCTGTGGTATAGAGCAGCTCTGGGGAGATGACTCGGCTGTTAAGAGCACTTGACGGCTCTTACAGAGGATCTGGTTGTGCATGGTTTCAAACAACCATCCCTAACCCTAGCTCCAGGGTGTCTGATATTCTCTTCTAGACTCCTTGGGAACTGCACACATGTGGGTGCACAGACATACATGCAGACAAACACTGCACACATAAAATAGGAAAAGAATGAACCTTACAACAACAACAACAACAACAACAATAACTACATGAAAAGACAAAAGCAAAAGTTCTGCTCAGCATACATTTTCCCACCCCTCCTTTCCACCTCTTTTCCTTGGCTTCATTTTATTATTTCTTTTTTAAAGATTTATTTCTAATTTATGCAGACACATGTTTTGCCTGTATGCATGCGTGTGCACTACATGAGTGTCTGATGTCTGCAGAAGTCAGAGGAGGGCATTGGGTTCCTTGGAATTGTAATTAGAAGCAGTTGTGAGCTGTCATGCAGGTGCTGGGAATCGAATCCTGGTCTACTACAGCAACCAGTGCTCTAACCACTGAGCCATCTCTCCAGCCTTCCTGACAGGTCATTCTAATTTACAGTTCAGCTCGATCCTTTCCATGTTCTTCTCTTATTCTTTGTCTCCTTAAAGTTTGTATTTCTCTGTATGAAAATGCAATAATGCCTTTTTCTCTTTTGTAAAACGTTTAGACAGTCGCTATAAAGCAAATGTCTTTCCATCGTACCCCTCACCACCAGCCCCACTTCCCATTCTTGATTCCGAAAGATAACACAAGTTCCACCACAATGACCCGCTCTGGCCTCCCAAGTTCGCACCACGATGACCCGCTGAGCTCTGCTCACAGTGTTAGAAGGCTTCTCCAGCCCACAGCTCCAAGCTCTCTCACACTCTATCTGGTCAGTTTGTAAGGCCCCAGCACATGATCAGGGTCGCTGCAGCCGTGACCTCCTGTCTCTGACACTAGCTTTCTGTGTCTCTCAGCACTGTGAGGAAACACTAAGATAACGGAAGGAGGGAGGCTTCATCTTGGCTCATGGTTTCATAAGTATTAGCCCATCCTTGCAGGGCAGGCCTGGTGGAGCTCACAGTAGGAGGAGCAGGTGGCAGAGCTTTTAATATGCGGCGGACCAGGAGACAGAGAACATAAGCTGGCATATGTGGAGGCCTTCCTCTCTCTATCAGTCAGGCCCCAGCTCCTAAAGCAGTGGATCTCAACCTGTGGTTGCGACCCCTAGGGTCGAATGACCCTTTCACAGGGGTCGCCTAAGACCATCAGAAAACACAGATATCTACATACGATTCGTAACAGTAGCAAAATTACAGTTATGAAGTGGCAATGAAAATAATTTGATAGTTGTGGGTCACCACGGCATGAAGAGTTGTGTTAAAGGGTCACAGCATTAGGAAAGCTGAGAACCACTGTCCTGAAGCCTCTCTACAGTCTACAGAATATTCCTATGAATTGAGAACCAAGCATTGAAAACACGAGCCTTTGAGCCACATTTCTGATTCAGAGTTCAATGACTTGGAAGAAAATGTTGATTTCCAACTGAGTCCCATTTTGCTAATACGTATATTTTCCTTGAGCCATGTTCTAATAGTGCGACTCACTGTGGAAGATCCGAACTATTAGATAATGTCATAAGTATCCATTTTGGGAAAATCACTCTAGGTAGAAGCAGGTTCAGTCCAAGCCAATAGACAGGACGTTAATTACAAAGGATTAACATGCTTATAATGTCGTCTTAAGTTCTATGAGAAAAGGATATACCAGGGACTGGAGAAATTGCTCAGTGCAATTAACTACTCTTCCAAAGGACCCTAGTGTGGTTCCTATCATCCATATCAGGTGGCTCATGAGCACCTATAACTCCAGCTCCAGGGAACCCTCTTCGGGCCTCCTCAGGTACCTACAATTGTGCACCCATCCCCCATAATCACATAATTTAAAAATAAAAGCAAATCATTTTCTTAAAAAAGATTTATGTTTATTGTTGTGTTATCGGCAGGCACGTTTGCATATCAAAAGAGAGTATAAGATCCTATGGGACTACAGTTACAGACAGTTGTCAGCTACCATGCGGGTGCTAGGAATTGAACTCAGGACCTCTGGAAGTATAGCCAGTGCTCTTAATCACTGAGTCATCTCTCCAGCCCGAGTAAATCATTTTCAAAATAAAAAAAAAGTATACCAGTCACACTTCAATATTTTTTCAGTGTATGTTTGCTCAGGGGAAACAGCTTGAATTTCATGACTGTGTTGAAACCCACCAAGATGTGTGGATTGAATTCTTACGCAATTTTGATTCCTTAGAACTGGCGTGATTTGGATGCCAGAATCACCGACACAGCAAATGAATCCAAAGATAACGTGCGGTATTTGTACACCCTGGAGAAAGTATGCCAGCCCCTCTATAACTACGACCTGGTGAGTATGCGCGCAGTTTCTAGGCCCTGGGGGTGTGGCTCGGAATCTAAAACGTTGAAGAAGTGTGGTTTCTAAAATTAACTTGTGTAACTGAAGCATTCGGCCACAGTGTTTTATCACAGCAAGGGGAAGCAAACCAGAACGGCATGCATGACAGAGTTCATTCCCGTGTCTCCATTTAGGTGTCCATGGCACATGGAATACAGAACTTGATTAATGCCATCAGGATGATTCACAGCGTGTCGAGGTACTACAACACATCAGAAAGGATGACCTCTTTATTCATTAAGGTGATATTCTTTTATTATTATTATTATTAAGTGTATGTTTGTATGTATGGTGTGTATAGCGGGGCGCAATTGTGCTCCAGAAACTTGTGGAGGTCAGAGGACATCATTGCAGGCTCAGGTTCTCTCTACCTTTGCACTGGCCCTTGGATTGAACTCAGGCCACTTGGCTTGAGGTGCAAGGACCTTGACTTGCTGAGTCAGCCCGCCAGCCCATCATAGTGAGTTTCTATCAGAAGCCACACACAGGGTCCTATGAAACAGTTCATAGTTCTTTTCATTTGAGCCACAGGAGGGAGCTGGGAAATTTGGGGACTCTCGGAGATCTGGATTTTCACACTTCCATGTAGGGGTCGGGTGGGGTGGAAGTGGGAGTAAATTTGGGAGTGGAGTGGTTAATTATTTTAGAGACTTTAAAAAAATTATCCAAGAAGCATTCACATAGAATCGAATTAGATGTGTAAAAGCACACGTCAGTTCTATAAAAGGAACTAGGGATCTAACTACACGCCGCACTCCAGATGACCAGGGGAATCCTCTGGGCCCTTTGGCTTCCTTCTTGCTACCGATGCTCCAGGTTGAGATCTTTCTTGGTTCCAGATTATTAACATTTTTTTCAGCATTGTGAACCAGAACATGATGGTTGTAATGTCAACTTGACAAAAGTGAGGGTTGTCTGAACTTTTTTTCTTTTTTCTTTTTTTCTTTTTTGGTTTTCGAGACAGGGTTTCTCAGTGCAGCCTTGGCTGTACTGGAACCTCTCTCTGTAGACCTGGCTGGCCTTGAATTCACAGAGATTCTCCAGCCTCTGTCTCCCGAGTGCTGAAATTAAAGGCATGCACTATCACCCCTGACTTTTTTTTGGGGGGGGGTCTGGACTCTTAATGGGGAATTATCTTTATAGGATTGACCTGTAGGCAAAACTTTGGGGCATTTTCTTGATTGTCGGTTGCTGTGGGTGAGTCCAACCTATTGTGGATAGCTCTGTCGCTGGCCTGGTGGTCCTGGGCTCTATAAGAGAGCAGGCTGAGCAAGCCATGTGGAGCAAGTCAGTAAGCAGCATGGCTCCATGGCATCAGCTCCTCTTTCCATCCCTAACTTCCCTCACTGGTGGGCAGTGGTGCGGAAACAAAGCTATAATACTATAATAAACCCTTTCCTCCCTAAGCTGCTGGGCCAGTGTTTTCTCACGGCAATAGAAACACTAACTGAGGCAACCACTCAGGCTAACAATTACATATTGCAAGTTTCTTTGACAGCTGATTTTTTTTGTGACTTGTACATAGCCTCACTTTGGGACTTACTTTTTCTTTTGCTGCAAAAAATAACCCTGGGGCCAGAGAGACGGTTCAGCAGGCGAAGGCATTTGCTCCAGAGCCTACTGTTGAAGTCGCTCTCCGTTTGTCTTGCAGGGCCGTGACTAAGGCTGAACTCACATTATCACCAATCTTTAGTATCTCCTAGAGTGATCATCCTTCTCCAGTTATGTCCTATATGCCTGTGGATGTGATCTTGCATGCACTGTGCATTTAAAAACTCCCCCAGGTTCTCTGTATGTACTGGACACCATTTTCTTCCTCTTCTCCCTCTCTCCCCCCCTTTCTCTGTCTCTGCCTTTCTCATTCTATCTCTCTCTCAGCCCCTCTGCTAAGGTCCCAGGATTCCCAAACTGGCCTCAAATTCTCTTATGTAGTAGAAGACATGAATGACCATTAACCTCTGACCCCCTGCCTTAGCTCCTGAGTGCTGATTACAGTCTGCACCTGTTTTGAGTGATGCTCAGGGAGGAACCCAGGGCCTTGATCTTGTTAGGCAAGCAATCTACCATTGGTCTATAATCCCTCTCCTAACATCTTATGAAGGCTAGCCGTCATTACTTTGGACTGGGTCAGGGCCTAAATGGACGTGTGCAGGACAGATGGAAAATGTGCTTGACTTTGGGACTCACGGCCCCAATGACCGAATTGCTGTAGGCAAATGTGACTTAGGGGTTTATTTTGATTGGATGTGTGTGTGTGTGTGTGTGTGTGTGTGTGTGTGTGTGTTTAAAATTGTGATTTATTTACTCTATAGGTTCATTTATCATCACACTGATCATATATGCTATGTTTTCCAAAGTCGTTGACCACGGCTACTTTGCGCCCCGCCTCTGCTTTAGGTCACGAACCAGATGGTGACAGCCTGCAAAGCGTATATCACTGATGGAGGAGCAAACCATGTGTGGGACCAGGAGACACCGGCCGTCCTCAAAAAGATCCAGGTTTGTAGAAGTCCTTCATTTCCATCAAGTTCTCCCCTGCCAGTTCAGTGTCACTTACTCTGCTCATTCATAAAACATGGCTCACTGGGAAGCTGCCGTGAGTGGCGTAGTGTGAGAATGCGAACAAGGGTTGTCACTGATGCATCACTCCGATGGGGCTAGCCGGCTCGGCAGCACAGAGTGCTGTAACTCATCTCAGGGGGCCCAAAGCCTTTGCCCCTGTGGGCACCTGCGCACAGTGCACCCGCCCAATTAAAAATAAGTCTTTAATGTGTCGCTGTGGCAACGAGAGGTGCAGGTCAAAGTGGTGGAGGACTGGGGAAACTGACAGGCTCCAGCAGGTTTGTCTTTCCTCTCCTACCTGGGCAGGGATGACTGCCCCACCCCAGGCCCCTCTCCCATGCTAAGTATCTGTGATCAAACTACAATAGAGAAACAGGAAGCTGAGCCTCATATCCTAGAACTGGACAAATTGGGCTAAGGGTGTAGTTAGCTAAGCCTGCCTGAGTCTCTGTGTCCCATCTCAGACACCACAGAAAAGGAGGCTCGGAGGCACACACCTGTGCCCCCAGCACTGGGCTGGTAGAGATGGGAGGATGGGGAATTCCAGGTCAGCCTTGGCTACAAACGGAGTTTGAGACCAGCCTGGGCTACATACATGAGATCCTGTCTCACACAACAGCAACAAAAGGTAGAGAAATCAGTGGCCAATGCGGAAACTGTCCAGAGGACTCTCATGCAGTTACTCGGAGAGATTGTAAGCGTCTCCCCTCCCCAGATATAGTCCAGGCAGAGTTATTTCCTGTCATACGGACACAGATTGTTTTTCTGGTGTCAAGAGCACTAATCGACAAAGAAAAGAATCGTCAAACACTGAGCCCTCATAAGAAAGCTGAGAAGCAGAACAGCTTGCAGTAACTTACAAAAGGACAGGGCCTAAAGCGGCAAGAAAATGCCTTCGGGGTGACTCGAAAGTCCACACACAGCTTTCACTGTTTGACAGCAGAACACGAGTTTTGGAAGAAGCTTTGAAATGTGTCCAGACAATACCCTTAAAACGCGTTGAAGAATCAAATAAGAAAAATAAATAAAAGAAGTCACCCCTGCAAGGGCAGGATCGTTTATCAGAGGGGATGTGCCGAGCCCCTTAAAACACAGAGTGTCAGACTAAGCAAGAAAAAAAATTCTCAGAAAAATGAGAATTCTCCGGAGCCGGTGCTGAGGGCAAGGACAGCCAAGAAAGAGCTGAATGACTGTCTTAGTGTCGTATTGCTGTGAAGAGACACCATGACCGTGGTAACTCTGGTAAAAGAGAACATCTAATTGGGGCTGGCTTATAGCTTCAGTGGTCTAGTCCATTATTGTCCTGGTGGGAAGCATGGTTGCTTGCAGGCAGACATGGTGCTGGAGAAGGAGCTAGGAATTCTACATGCAAATCAGCAGGCAGCAGGAAGAGAACTAGAGCTCCTGAGACCTAAAAGCCTATTGAAGCGCCTATTCCAACGAAGCCACACCCACTCCAACAAGGCCACACCTCCTAATGCGGCCCCCTAAACACTCAGATGTAAGTCTGGGGGAGCATTCTTAGTCAAAGCACCACATTGAGAAACTTTGCTGTGTGTGTATTTAAAAAATAAAACTAGCTGAGAAACGGGGTTGCATCCCTTTAATCCCAGCATTCAGGAGGTAGAGGCAGGTGAATTTCTGTGAATTCAAGGCCAACCCGGTCTACATAGATCAACCAGGGCTATGTAGTAAGACCCCGCCTTAACAAAACAGGTTATCAATGCAAAGTCTTCATGTTGTGTATTCACAGTATAACAAATGCTGGTGCTGACCACGTGGGGATGCACGCCTGGAATACCCAGGAGGCCGAGTCAGGCAGACCACAAATTTGAAGCCAGACTGGGCTATGTAGTGAGAGACAACTATATATATATAAACAACAGCAAAAACTAGTATGCTGGTACAAACACGGATGCCAGCTGAATACTGATATCGTCATAGAAAATTTCCAAGCCTCTGGGGGATTCTGAGGATTTTTTTCTTTTTCTTATGTTTCCTGAGAATTTTATACGTGTTTACAATGAAATATGATGGCATCTGCTCACCCCCCATTTTCCCCTCCAACCTCCTCTCTATTCCCTCCAGCAGGTCTTCTCCCAACTTGCTGTGTTTTGTTTTTGTTTGTGACTCACTGAGTTCAGTCAGTGTAGCCCGTGTGTGTGGGGTTGTGGTATGGGTCTCCCAGTAGCATGAGAACCCTACTTGTGGCCACACCCTTCTCAAACAACGAATCCCCGTCCCCCTACAGTTATAAACTGGCAGTTGCTCTTCTTAGGGATGGGGCCTGGAGCTTCCCCACCCCTTCGATGCCTGAATTTTAACTGGCTTGACCTGTTTCTTGTTCTTTTGGTTTTTCAAGACAAGGTTTGTCTGTGTAGCAGTCCTTACTGTCCTGGAATTTGCTTTGTAGACCAGTCTGGCCTTGAACTCATGGAGCTATAAGTGTCCCCTGTAGAGCTGAGCACCCAGACTCTTCTCTCAGCTTTCCGGTCCTGTTGCAGCTCTCCACTGACCGCTGCCCAGTGCACAGACAAGCTCCTGTGGTCCACGTCGAGAGAAGCTGTGCCTATGAGTATCAAGTCGAAGAATTAGAAGGCTGTTTGCCCGCACGGCCATTTCACTTAATTAGCTGTGAAAATATAAAACCAAAAGCTAAAGATGTGCTTTAGTGTGGGATGAGTTAAGAGGAAATAGTGAAAAGGGAGCAATGAGGGTAGAATGTGTCTCCAAAAAGCTGTAGTTTTTTTTTTTTGAACGGCTCCTCTAACTATTTAGAAGTTCATTGCGTTGTATAGTCTTTGAGTCTGGATAATTTTGGTGTGTGGTTTTTCTTTTGTTTTTCTATTTGCAACCTTTTTTTTTAAAAAAAATAACAAAGTTTAAAATAAAAACAAAACATTTAAAGTGCGATATGGTTGTCCATAGGCTGTACTCCCCAGGCGGAGACTGAGAACGTCTGCTGTCTTCTGCTGACAGTGCCAGCTTTTGTCTGCGGGGCTGATGGCGCCAGTGTGGCCAGGCTGGCACGAGCCTGTCACCTGCCACCTCGTGCTTTTTCTCCTTCTCTTGTAGGACTGCATCTTCCTCTTCAAGGAGTACCAGGCCTCCTTCCACAAGACAAGGAAGCAGATTTTAGAGTCCTCAGGGGAGAAGTCCTTCGAGGTTTCAGAGATGTATATATTTGGGAAATTTGAAGCCTTCTGTAAGAGACTGGAGAAGGTAAGCATTCTGCAGTCACAGGACCCCACTCCCACCCGCACGGGGCTGCTGTTTTGGGGTTTCAGGCAGTGTGACTGAGGACCATTGTTTCAGGTCTCTTCCCGGCGTTGATCCAACTTGTCCAATTAGGTTGCCCATCTATCACTGCATTTGTTTGAACTGATCTCCCCCCCTCCCATCCCGAACTAGTAATGCCTTGTGCCAGCCAAAGGCTATTGTGAACTTTCACCTCTCCCAAGACCTCAGTTCTTCTTACACAGATAGGTCCTGAACTTGAAGGCTTGTGCCTTTGACCGCAATATTAAGCTGAGAAAATGTGTGCAGTTGGCAAGCCCTGTAAACATGCTGCAGCCAGCGCAGCCTGGATAGCCAAGACTGGCGGGGGGTGCCGGGATTGAAACACGGAGGCTTCTTCTCAGGTGGAAGAACAGCAACACTAAAGGTTCCTGGGTGTCAGTCATTCTGGGGATCTATAAAGGGATTGGAGAGATGGTTCTGGTGATGCGCTTTCAGAGCACTGTAAGGACCTGGGTGAGGATACCCAGCAGCCCTGCAAATGGTTATGCATGGTGGTGCTCGTCTCTAACTCCAGTGCTGGTGGGGCAGAGAGAGGTGGATCCCTGGAGCTCATTGGCCAGCCAGCAACTGGTGGAACTCCAAGTTCAGTGAGAGATCCTGTTTCAAAAAAGAAGTCAGAGGGCCTGGAGGGATAACTCAGGTTAAGGGCACACACTGTTCTTGCTGAGGACTTGAGTTTGGTTACCAGCCCTCACAACTTCTTGTAGCTCCAGCTCTATGGGTCTCAGGCCCTCTTATGGCCTCTGGGGGAAATTGCAGTCACACCCATATATATAATTAAAAAATAAATTAAATCTTGTGATTATACAGAGAGATAGATGTAACTGAGGATAAAATGAATTAAGCTAACCACATGAAGACACATACTGTATGTTTTTTCTTATCATGTCCTGCTTTCTGGCTATTGTAGGGTGGTAGGGGAGAGTCAGTGTCTTAGAGGTCAGAATAGCATCAGGTGAGTCATGTTGACTTCCTGTCTTGGCTTTTGCTTCACACAGTAGGCATGTAGAATTTTGATATTAGGAGCCAGTCCAGTCATTTCTCGTGTTTATACAGCTCCTGTAACATACTGTAAATTTCAGGTGGTTGCATTTCTGAGACAATGGTTTATGGAAAAAGTATGGTGAGACTAGTTGTCACCCTGACAAGGCCGCATCTGGGTGGGGCACACAAGGATGGTCTGTGTGGTGTAGTGAGAATCCACGAGAATTTGCCATGTCAAAGAACCAGTAGTATTGTCTTCATGGGACGCGGTATTTGGAGGACATGCTGAGGAGAGGCACGTTTCCTTTCCTGCCATTGGTCAAAAATAATCTCTCCATGGACAGTTCTGAGCTACATTATTGTAAGCAGGGATTCAGAGCAGGAATCACTCAAGGCAAAGAACTGCATACTTTGTAGATATGAGGGTTTGTTGTTTTAGGTTGCTTTCCCTGGATGAGTGTTTTGCCTGCTTATATGTGTGTGTACCGCATGTGTACCGTGTGCATGCCTAGTGCCCTCAGAGGTCAGAGGAGGCTGCCAGCTTCCCCAAGAACTGGAATTTTAAATGATTGTGAACCACCATGTGGGTTTTACAAACTGCACTCAGGTCTCGTGGATTCCCAGCCTTCCCAGCTTGTCACACACACAGAGATTTGCTCAGATTGGCTCAGATTCATTATTTGCTGGGGATGCATTCAAATTCCTCATCCTCCTGCCATTTCCTTTCAAGTGTTAGGATACAGGTACAGGATGTCAGCATTTTTTGTTTGTTTTTAGTTCAATGATTCATTAAAAAGCCTGTGCCAGAGAAAGGGGCCCAGAAGCTCATCTCTAACCATCTAGCATTTCCATTTGAAGATTACAGAAATGATAACCATTGTGCAAACGTACTCAGCCCTGAACAACTCTACAATCGAAGGAATAGATATCATGGCGATAAAATTCAAAAACATCTATCAAGGGATTAAGAAAAACCAGTATGACATCCTGGATCCACGAAGAACAGAATTTGACACAGATTTCTCGGATTTTATGTCAAAAATCAATACTTTAGAGGTAAGTAGTCGCACGAGCTTGCACTGAGAAAACCAGAAGCGTAGCTGATGGTGCCCCTCGGTCCTGTTCCTGCAAATACATATGGGGAGCAATGCTCATGTGTTTACTCTTTTCAAAAATTTTATTTCCTTTCATTTGTATGGTAGTTTTGTTCGTATGCATGTCTGTATATCATGTGTGCCCGATGCCCTCAGAAGAGGGGATCAGATTCCCTGGAACTGGAGTTAGAGTAGACTGAGCCACTATGTGTGGGTGTCTCCTTTTCCTCCGCGTTGTTGGCACTTGAGGGTGAAGGGAGCAGAAGCGGTGAGCAGGGCCTGATGGCTGTGAGTATGACAGAAAGAATTCAGAGAGACAGCTCGTTTTATTGCTCTAGGGGTAAAGTATATAAGGGTTCCTAGGGTCACTGGCTGGAAGAGCTGATTGGTCAAACCGCAGCCCCTAATTATCATATGGGCGGGAGGAAAGAGCAGCGTTTGTAGGGAGCTGTGTGCAGGGTCATCCTCCAAATAAGGTCAGGCATCTGTGTTTAGAGATACTCATCAGTTAAGGTTTAGGCAGAGAAGAGGAAGCCCCGCTGAGAAAGGGAGTCCTCCATTTTGTGCTGAGCTCAGAGAACTCTCCAGACAGGGTGGACTTGTGACCTTAATGGCAGGAATCCCCAACACATGTGGGTACTGGGAATAGAACCCAGGTCCTCTGGAATAGCAGCCAGTGCTCTTAACTGCTGAGCTGTCTCTCTACCCACACATATTCACTAGTTATTATATTCCCATTGCTTTAAAAATGTGCAGGGTGAATAATTTTTAAAGCAATCCACAAAACCTTTTCCATTTTTATGTGTATGTGAGTACACATGCACATGGGTTTGTGGGGTCATGTGTATGTATGTATTTAATGTGCAAGGTGTGGAGTCCAGGGGACAACCTCAGGTGTCTTTTACCTTTGATTTGAGATAGGACCTGCCATTAGCCTGTACTTTCCCATGTAGACCAGGCTAGCAGGCCCACTTGTTTTTGTGATCTTGGGTTATTCCTGAGCTTGCAGGCATACAGTATCATTCTTTGCTTTTTATGTAGGCTCTGGGGATCTGTTTCTCTTAGGGTTTCTATTGCTGTGAAGAGACACCATGACCACCGTTACTTTTTTTGTTGTTTTTTGTTTTTCAAGACATGGTTTCTCTGTGTAGCCCTGGCTGTCCTGGAACTCGCTCTGTAGTCCAGGCTGGCTTCAAACTCACAGAGATCCACCTGCCTCTGCCTCCTGAGTGCTGTTATTAAAGGCGTGCACCACCACTGCCCGGCTGACCATGGTTGCTCTAATAAAGGAAAATATTTAACCAGGACTGGCTTATAGGCTCGAAGGCTGATTCATTATTGCTATGGTGGGAAGCATGACAGTGGACAGGCAGACATGGTGCTAGAGAAGAAGCCTAGAGTTCTATGTCTGCATTCACAGGCAGCAGGAAGAGAGTGTGACAGTGAGCCTGGCTTGAGATTCTAAAACTTTAGTGCCCACCCCCAGTGACACACCTCCAATAATGCCCCTCCCTGTGAGTCTACAGGGGGCATTTTTATGCAGACTGCCCCAGAATCTGAGCTTATGTCTTCATGTTTGCAACCCATGTGTTTCACTGGTCATATTTCTCTAGCCTTTCAGCTTTTTTGCCTTATGAGAAATGAGTATACCCAATGAAAGACACACACGATAACTAAACATCCAAAGGATATTTTAACCATTGGTATAAATTCCTTTGCCCAGTGAGTTTTCTCACTGGCCTCCTTTTCCAATTTCTGAAATTCAGTTTTTTTTTTGATGTGAAAGTGAAGGAAAAAATAAGATTTTTGTCTCATTTAAAAAAATCTTTTAAGCCGGGCGGTGGTGGCGCAAACCTTTAAACTTAGCACTCGGGAGGTAGAGGCAGGCGAATCTCTGTGAGTTTGAGGCCAGCCTGGTCTACAAGAGGTAGTTCCAGGACAGGCTCCAAAGCTACAGAGAAACCCTGTCTTGAAAAAACCAAAAAAAAAAAAATCTTTTAAATTTGTATTACATGTAATTTTCAGTATTAATAAGACAATTCCTACTATCTCTCCGATAATCAAGATAGGCCTTGAACTTGTGATCTTTCTCCATTAGCCTACAGAATAGCTAATATTATAGCTCCACATCATCAGGCCTGAAAAGTTAGCTTAGTTTTCGCTTCCCTTCCGTTTTTTTGAAAACTAGATTCTGATATCAAGACGTATTCCCATTATTACTTTTCATTTTGGCTAGTTGAGCTAGATGGAGTTTACTTCCAAAATACATTGGGAGTTAAATATTCATGGCAGCAGGAATTAAAATTTTTGTTCTCTGAGAACTTTATGATTTATTAATGAAGCTTATATCTTATGAAAGATGTAAATTCTAGCTTTCAATAAAGCTAGTGTCCATATGATTTCCTTTCTTGAGGACTGGTGATTGGTCCCAGCTAGGCAGGCATTGTTCCACTGAGCTACATCCCAGCCCTTCAGTTTGAGACGGGATCTCTGTACATAGTACAGGCTGGCCTCAGCTTTTGTAGGTTTCCTGCTTCTGTCCCCTGAGTGCTAGGATTATAGGTCTGTGCCATCAAACCCAGCTCATTTAAGCCCTTTGGTAGTTATTGATAGATAACTTGACTGTGGTGCCATTATTTGAACTTCCCTTGCCAGTGTCTGACTGACTTGTGGGTGTGACCCATTTGACTACCGATCCCAATACCTTCCACATGGAATATGCATCTATAAGGAGCCGTTTTAGTTCCATCTCTCAGGGCCAAAAGCTTGAAGCCCATTGCTGGGGATGGTGGGAGTCTTGGAGGATCATTTTCTGCCTTATGTTCCTACCGGGTCACAGCAGCCAGGTTTCCTGGGGCGGTAGTGTGGCAGCTCACATCTTCTGACCCAGGCTTGGAAATGACAAACTTCTCAAGGAAAACCGTTTAGCTGGGGGCCCTCACACCTTTATATACCCTCTCGATCAGAATATCCAACCACAAGCTACAAATGCAAACCACACAAGGTCCTTTCATTTTCCTAGCAGCCTCATGAATAGACTAAAAAGAAGGTGAGTTTAGCTTTAATAATATTCTGTGACTACTCCAAGCTATTCAGAGTGTCATAATTTTTACATGCCGTTAATGTCTAACTCATGAAGGAAGTATTTTATATAATCTATGGGGGGGAGGGGTACTGAGTCTGTGCCATGCAGTGTGCATTCCATATTTACCTACATCTCACTGCTAAGCGGTGACATTCGGTAGCCGTGTGGCCATCACAGGGACCTTGTACATTACTAGGAACTTAGAAGGTAGACGTGTCTGAGTCTTTAGGAATGTTGCTAACAAAACTAACCTCCTTTGTGTAGACATAACTTGAACGTCGACCTTTTATTTTAGATACAGATACAGGCGTTTATGAACAGTACCTTCGGAAAGATCTTGTCTTCCCAGCAGGCGCTGCAGCTGCTTCAGAGGTATTTATTACAGAGGCAGGAGGAGGGTGGGTCCTCAGAAGGCACAGTTTCTGACAGCTCAAGTGGTAAAGTGCTTGCTTTGTGATGGGGAGGACCTGAGTTCACTTCCCAGAACCCATGTAAAAAGAGGATAAAGAAAGAAGGGAGCCGGGCATGGTAGGGCATGTTTGTAGCCCACCATTCCTGGGGAGGCAAAGGCAAGAGAATCCCTGGGGCACAGTGGCCATGCAGTTTAGCTGAATCAGTAAGTTCAAGGCCAGTAAGAGGCCCTGTCTCGAAAAAAAGATAAGGGCAGATGGCACCTGAGGAATGACCCCTGGGGTTGTACCCTGGGCTCTACACACACACACACACACACACACCTGTACACATGCACTAGCACTCACATATGAACTCGCACATATATGTACCTGCACACACATAACTGCACACAGGCACCTGCACTCATATATGCACCTGCACATACATGTACCTGCACACACACACATCTGTACACACGCACCTGCACCCACACATACATGTATCTGCACACACATAATTGTGCACACACATCTGCACACACATTAATGCACACATACACACACACACACACACCAAAAAAAATAATGTACACAATTTCAAATTTGATGTTCTAGCAACCTCTGCTTTATAAACCTTAAAAGCTATAGACATTAACTTTTCATTTACCACTAATTAGATTTTTGGAATACAGAGCATTATTTTTCATACCATTTTAGATTTTTTTTTTTCTGAGACAAGCTCTACTATAGTTCAGGCCGGCCTCAGGTTTGCTCTGTGGCCAAGGAAGACCTTTAATTTCCTCCTCCTCCTGCCCCCCTCTCCAAGGTGCTGGGAGGACAGGTGTATACTAGGTGCTCCTCTGAATTCAGAAGTTATAACAAAGTCTTTCATAAGAAAGTCTCACATGGCTTCCTAGCCCCAGCCATGTAATATCCTTCATTTTAATTTCATAGTTATTATTGGAGAGGGAATAACTACTGTTTAATTTTACTTGGGGAAAGAATTTCCAAAGAACACGATTGCATATTGTCACAGTTAACTTCAGCTGTTATCTTGAAACAAAGTCACTTGGAAAGAGGGAGCCTCAGCTGAGGAACGGCTCTGCCAGACTGACCCGTGGCCACGTGTGTGGGGGCATTTGTCTTAATTGCGAATTGATGTGGGCAGGCTTAGCCCCCTGTAGGTGGCACCATTCCTAGGCGGATGGGCCTGGGCTGTGTAGGAAAGGCAGCTTCTGGGAGTCTGGAAGAAGCCAGCTCCCGCTTCAGTTCCTGCCTCCACGTTCCTTCCTTGAGTTTCTACCCCTGCTTCCCTCCATGATGGATCGGGACCTGGGAGCTGCAAGCTGACATCAACCCTTTCCTCCCCAAGTTTTTTGTGGTGTTTACCTCAGCAAGAGAAGCAAACTAGGACAGATATATTTGATTGGTTGATATACACAAGAAACATGGTCAACACAGTCGAGAAAGTAACGTCCTTCATCTTGGATAGTTACCCCCCATCCCCACGCTGTTTATGGTGAGAGCACTTGAAATATGCTCCCCCAGTCTCGTTTCTCCCCTGTTCCCATTGGCAGTGCTTGCCATGGATGGCGGAAGTCAAGACTAGAGAGAGAAGTTGGACTAGAGGTTGTGTGTGTGTGTGTGTGTGTGTGTGTGTGTGTGTGTGTGTTTGCATACGTGTTTGAGACAGACACAGACAGAAAGAGACGTACATAATGTAGACATACACACACCACATCCATACACAGATATAAGAGACAAGACCCATGTCAGAGGTCCCTTGTTAAATTCTTTCCTGTGAGTCAGGGCATCTGGTTTTCTGTTGGCTTTATCCACATCTCTGTGATAACAATGATCTCCCAGGAGACAACCACAGGATTCAAAGCGGGCATGAAATGATTTTGACAAGTGACAGCGCGGGTGGCATTTTAATGGTGACCTCCCCACCCCTGTTTGTCTCCCATTGCTCTCTCTGCCTATAATAGGCTATTGGTCAGTTCATTCTATTATCAGAACAGTGTGGTCCTGGTTCCTCCCAGGCGTCATTTAGTCTCTGAGTAGATGTGTGATATTGACCGGCAGCCCATTATTGCAGTATCTGCCTTTCTAAGTGGTAGCTCCAGGGTCCAGGAAAGCTGAGTGCGCCTGCCTTGTTGGCTGCTACATATCTAGGAAAATGCACGGGGCCTGGAATAAACGTTTATCAAATGATTGAGCAGATATTTAGTACCCCAGCCATTCTGTAATACGTTTCTCATTTCCCTTTTAATTACCCAGTTTCAATTACTTTCAGGTTTCAGAAGCTGAACATTCCCTGCCTTCAACTGGAAATCAATCACACAATTGAGCGGATTCTTCAATGTTATGTGGCTGAACTTGAAGCTACCAAGAAGGTAAGTATCCTGCATATACACAGAAGAATGGGTTAGTATGGGGAGGGAGGCTCTGAAAACCTTCTCCGTTGCCAGGGTGTTCAGCACATTCCTCCTGGAGGCTCCCCTCTGAGTGTGAGGGTCTCCATGGTAAGTCCTGGGACTGCCAGATCCACCCCTGTTTTCTGTTATAAACTGTGCTTTTGTTCCAGTCTTCCGGAGATTATATAGCAGAGCCCAGTCAGGTTATTTTTGCACAGAGAAATGCAGATGCTGGACTATACCAGATACAATGTAGCTATGAGTATTGTCTTTGGGATCCTGCCTTGAAACGTCAGATAAGGATAGAAAAGAATACATGCCTGTTAACTATGTCTGCACCCCTGTCACCGAGATTCTGTGCAAAGTATTTATAGGGGGGAAGATTCATGCTGGACTGTGTTTCAGCCTGCCATAGTGGAATGGCTCTGTGTGGCAACCTGAGACTATTCACGTGGGGTGTAAACCTGAATTGATTCGCATGGGGTGTAGACCTGAGGCTATTCACATGGGGTGTAGATCTGAATCTATTCACATGGGGTGTAGACCTGAATCTATTCACATGGGGTGTAGACCTGAGGCTATTCACATGGGGTGTAGGCCTGAGGCTATTCTCATGGGGTGTAGACCTGAGACTATTCACATGACTGCCAGCCAGACTGGATCAGTGGGTATAACTTCCAGGGTTCCACCTCCTAAAGATTCCACAACTTTTCCAAACAACACAACCATTGGGGTAGGCATACATTCCAAATGAGGTAAGGGGCTGGGGTGACAGCCTTGCTGTACAAGCCTGAGGACCTGAGTTCAGATCCCCAGCACTCAGATAATAAAAGCAGCAGCATGCACCTGTCACCCCCATGCTGCCTTGGTGAGGGCAGGTGGCTCCTGGGGCTTGCTGGCAGCCAGCCTAGGCCACTCAGTGAGACGTGATTGTTTCTGAGCCTCAGATCATTGGTTCTGAAGCTCATTTGCATATTTATTGACTAACTCTTGGGCACCCAACCTGTGAATCATGGTGAAACCACCTATTCAAATGTAGCTGTAAATTTCGTTGCCTTCTCCACTGTGTTGAATTCAAACATTAACGTTATATTTTTTTAATTACAGCTCTATCATTCTCAGAAAGATGACCCCCCTCTCGCTCGCAACATGCCCCCCATAGCAGGAAAAATTCTCTGGGTGAGGCAGCTCTACCGCCGGATAAATGAGCCCATCAACTATTTCTTTGTAAGCCAATCACACAGTTTCTATGTGAATCATGGTGGTGTAGAAATGAAATTACATTACAAATTCATCCTGCCCTCAAATATTGATGCCAACCAAGTAGTCAGGACCAATGCTTTTACCGAGAGAAAAAAAAATTAGCTTATAAACATGCCAGAGAGGGACGAAGTCAATCTTGTCATGTTCAGCAGACCAACCAGTTCAATTATAGTTGGCAAATCTTAAGTCTTTTAATAACTGAAGACACTTTATAAAGGCTCTTAAAAATAATTGTTTTTAAAAACACAGAGTGTAAGCTGTGTCCTGACTCTTATTTGCATGTGCAGATGGATAGGTGCTGATGTATATTTAATGAAAGCCGAGATGGGATGCCAAGTGCTTTCCTCTTTGAAGAACCGAGCCCCAGGCAGGACACAGCAGTATATACAGAATAAGATTATCTGATTTCTGAAGAGCAGAGTCCTTGTAGATCCTGCCAGCATTCTGGGAATGCCATTTTGTCTTTTCTTTGTCATTTTGTTTTTATTTGTTTAAGAGTGTACCAGAATAGAGTCTGGTTTGTTTGATATTATAGTTTATGTCTGAACAGAGAACAAAATAACCACAGGACCACATCCTTCAAGTAATTTTGTTTCTGGGCATTACTGAATGTGAAGTTCCTGCTGTTGCCTTGCTTCGTTAGTCTGCATATTTGCAAATATTTAAACTGGGAGTGGAGAGATACTACTTTTGCAAAAGACCCAAGTTCAGTTTCCAGCCCCCATGCTGGGTGGCTCATAATCGCCTGTAATTCCAGCTCCAAGGGCTCTGACGCCCTCTTCTGGTCTCTTTATGCACCTACACTCAAGTGCACATGTCCTCACATAGACACATAAGAAACAGTTAAAAAAAAACCTTAAAAGACATTTAAACCCTAACAAGAGCCTGAACTGCTGTGCTAGGAGGGTACAGTATGACACAGGTACAGGTACAGTGACTCCTTTCAAGGTTGACTAATGGGACACTTCTTGAGTCACCCCCACCACCCTGTATAATTAAGGAATTTGCCCTGATAGCAGTTCGAGTAAAATCAGCCAGTTGTACCTTGTCCAGGGAAATGGGGAGGGAGGAGACACTGGAGACAGAGAGCGCTGCTTCTTCTGGCTGGTTGTGGGCTGGCAGGATTCTTCTTCAGTCCTTTCTTTCTAGGGTAACGCCCCTTCTCCTTCCGTCTCCAGCTTCCATGGCCTTCCTCCATGGCCTTTCATTCCACGGCATCTAAAAGGCTGCCGTGACTATTGGATGTCAGGATAAGTAGACTTTTTTTTTTTTTGGAATAAAGTCTGCAAAAAAAATTTTTTTTTTTAAAATGTAACTTTCTCCCCTCCCCACCCCCCAGAAAAACTCAGAAATCTTGTCAAGCGCTGAAGGCAAAGCTGTCATCCGCCAGTATAACAAGATCTCGTACGTGCTGGTGGAATTCGAGGTGGTCTACCACACAGCCTGGGTCAAAGAGATTTCACAGCTGCAGTATGGTGCGTTGAAGGCTCCCATGTGGGGCTTCATTTCAGATGACTGCATGGTTCTCTTGACGGTCGGCACTCCCTTTACAAACAGTGAGGGTCATCAAGGTTTATGTTAGGGCTGGGAGGATGGCTCAGTTGCTTAATGCCTGAGTTTAGTCTTCAGAACTCATGTAAAAAAGCCAGGGGTGGTGGTGGGGTGTTGGGGGGTTAAGATCAGGCAGACCCCTAGTCTAGTCAGGCAGACACCCTTACAGGGAGTATAATCTAATTGGTGTGTTCCGTACTAGTGAAAGACCCTGGCTCAATAGGTAGAGATCAAGTTTTCTGGAATGTTCATTGCTCTCAAGGACATCATTTGACGCTAGAAGGTACAACAGACTCATTGCAATGGGTTAATGACCAGAAGTGCTCCCAAGCAAAGCCAGCAGTTTAAAGTCGAAGTTTTTCATCCTAGGCTATAGGAAATGAATGGCTCTGGATGGTTTCCCCTTGTATGACTTGACCATACTTGACTGTGCTCAGTTTGATGCCTGGGCCTCCTTCTGATGGATACTGCACAGAACTTCTCAGGTAGAGATCCACCAGGTCTCAGATGGTCACCCTGGCCTGGAGCGGCCCCTCCTGACTATCCTTAGCATCTGTCTTACTGATGTTGTTGATCCTTTTGTTCTGTTGTGCAAGTTCAGTACAGCCTTAAGGTAGCCAGATTTTATTAAATGAGTATTGTTCTGGGATTTACCTGAGTGGACATGTGATTTCTAACCCAATTCCGAGAGGATTCCAAATATGTTGGATACAATTCTTAGCTGAGAGGCTCAGGAAAACTGATTCCATTGGGAACCTTGCTAAGGGCTGGCAGGATGTCTCAGCTAGTGTAAGGGAGCTTGCTGCACAAGCCTGGAGACCTTAGTTCAATCCCTGGCACTCACTTAAACATAGAAGCAGAAAACTGACTCCACAGATTGCCTTCTGGGTGCTTTGTAGCACATCCTTCCAATAACATATTTAAAAATAAATTAAAATCATCTTTTAAAGGGACCCTCTCTAAGACTAATTTTATCCAATGAGTAAAAGCCAGCCAACTTCAGAGGGTTTTAGGGAATGCTTTATTTTCCTAGAAATTTGATGGTGTGGCATTCTATCAGGTCACATGAGACTTGGTGGGGTCTGTGATTATAATGAAATTCTGTGTTAATAAAGTTTGTTGAAATAAGACGTAATTTGAGTGAATACATATAAGCCTGTAGAAGTAATTATTTTTTATTATTATGCCTCTGGAAGTAATCCATGTTACATTAACGAATAATCTCAGGGGCCGGAGAGATGGCACAGTGGTTAAGAGCACTGGCTGCTCTTACAGAGGACCCAAACTCAGGTCCCAGCACGCACTAGGCAGCCATCTGTAACTCTAGTTACAGACGCCCTCTAATGGCCTCCATGGGCACTTCTTATATGTCTTGTAAGACACACATGCATGCAAAGTACCCACACACATAAAATAAAAATAAATAAGTCATCTAAGGCCCCAACAAGAATCTTTAGAGGTTGTATATTTCAGTTTATAATAAAAACTCTATTTACATTTTCTGCATTTTAAAACGTGTGTGTGTGTGTGTGTGTGTGTGTGTGTGTGTGTGTGTTTCTGCATTCACACATGACACAGCCTGCATGTTGAAGTGGGGACAACTTTGGGATAACTTTACTTCTCCCATGTGAGTCTCAGGAATCAAACTCTGGTGTCCAGGCTTGCTTAGGATCAAAAAGCTTATCTTAATGTGCTTATTTGTATGAATGATATTTGTGTGGTATGTAGTGTGGAAAAAAACCCCAAACATGTCTGTAGTCTAAGAGGTCAGGACTCAGTGTTATTTACTAAGTATTGCTAGGAGGTGGTGGTGCACACCTGTGATCTCAACATTCTGGAGGTGGAGGCATGAGGTCAGATGCTTGGAGTCATCCTGGGCTAGAGAATGAATTCAAGGCCAGTTTGGGCTACATGAACTTAGGTATCTAAAACAAAACAAACAAAACCTCTTGGTGATATTCAGCTAAGTGATACGATGTCTGGGTGAGGTTTTAATTCAGGTAAACCTCCCCAAAGAAGTCAGATTGGGGTCAGGGAGACGAGTTTGAGATCTCGTCATCAGTATGCCGTTTGTCATTCTGATCTCTTTTCAGGGGCTGTCTGGTCAGCTTTAATGGCCAGCTTGACACAGCTGTATCTAAGTGGACATCCTCAGAGGGCTTGACTAAATCAGAATGGCCAGAGGTCTGGGGAAGGGGTTGTCTTGGTTGCTAATTGATACAAGAGGGCTTAGCCCACTGTGGGTGGTACCAAACCTAAGTATAAGCAGGCCTGAGTGTCATCTAGCAAGCGGCATCGTCTCTTGTTTCTTCTGTACCTTTTTTTGGCTGTGAGGTGAGTTCCTGGGTGGGAGCCAATGCTATGTGGGGTAACAAGCAGGCTTCCTTTTTGGTTTGATGGATTGGGAGCTGGAGAGGAAAGGCAAGTCAGTCCTTTCTTCCTCAACGTTAGTTTGGTCAGTGCATTTTATCACAGCATCAGGAAGGGAGAACAAGAGTTAAGTTACAATCCATAAAAATAAGCCATAGCTAGACCCTATAACCCACTGGAGGAAGTATAGCGGTTCATGCCATAAAGCCTGTCACTCACCCATCCGGCTTTCTCTCTCTGGATCTGAGCCATGGCTTTGTATATACCGGGTCTTCATTTCTCTGAGTCTTGTTGACTGACTCTATGCGAGAGACTTTGCCTTAGCACTGTAGGACCCAGGACTATCGCTTTGCCTTTCTGTGGTGAAGCAGAAGAGGATGAAGGGAAATCAATGCTGGTACTGGTTCACTTGCAGCTTTGCAAGCCACGCTGTTTGTGCGGCATCCGGAAACGGGGAAGTTGCTGGTTAATTTTGACCCTAAAATTTTGGAAGTTGTGCGGGAAACAAAGTGCATGATAAAGATGAAGCTGGATGTTCCAGAACAAGCGAAGAGGCTGCTGAAACTGGAAAGCAAGCTGAAAGCAGACAAACTGTATCTGCAGGTAAGATGAACAGCATCTTTTGATGATTTCTTTTTGCCTTTTTGTATGTGCATGTTTATGAGTGTGTGTATGTGTGCATGTGGGTACATGTGTGGAGATCAGAGATTGACACCTAGTGTCTTCTTTAGCTCTTTCTGCCTTACCTTTGAACAAAACATTCATGGACTGGTTAGACTGGTTGGCTAGTGAGCTCTGGGGAGTCACCTGTCTCTGCCCCCCACACTGGGTTACAGATGAACATGGCCACACCAGCATTTTTTTATTTTTAAAATGTGCGTGCTGGGGATCCAAACTCAGGTCCTCATACTGGTGTGGCTTGCGCTTTTTGTCCAGCCCATTCTGGTTACTTTTGAAGGAGGTTTTTGGTGCAAGAAAAATGTATCCCAGCAGGCTGTTATTTTCATTTCCGAAAGATTTACAGATCCAGGAGTTGGTGGCATACGCCTTTAATCCCAGCACTTGGGAGGCAGAGGCAGGCAGATCTCTGTTGAATTTGAGACCAGCCTGGTCTACAAATTGAGTTCCAGAACAGCCAGAGATACGTAGTCTGAGATCCTGTCTTAAAAAAGCTAAAACTAACCAGTCAAACAAAACAGTTGTTTGCGTATTTATTGGTTGGTTTTTTGTTGTGCATGTGCACGCGCACACACACATGAGCACTCTTGCTTGCGCACAGGTACCCACAGAGCCCAGAAGGGGATGTCAGATCCCTTGGAGTTGGGGTTACATTTGCGAGTCACTTATGAGGGGTACTGGATCAGAACCTGGGTCCTCTGCAAGAGCAGTGAGTGCCCTGAACCACTGAGCCATCTCTGCAGCCCCGTCTCCATAGGAGTAAAATACCAGCTTTCAAACAACATAAAGATGGAAGTCAGAAAAGAGAGAGTTCCAGAGCTCACTTGGACTTCCAGGTCCTAAGTGATGAAGCATCAGGTTTAACAACGCTTTAATTATAATTTTATGGAGCAAGAATATTAAATTTAATATATTTAATACTGGGTACTAATAAAATATAAATTATGAGACAGGGGTGGCTATAAAATAACACAAATGGAAAGGATTCTCCAACATTTTAGGACAAAATGAAGCATTCTAATTTAAGTTCACTCATGAGTAACGTGAAATTTAAAAATATGAGCTAGGTGTGGTGGCACATGTCTTAGTCCCAGCATTTGGGATGCAGAAGCAGGAGAATCTCTGTGAGTTTGAGGCCAGCTTGGTGTACATAATGAGTTTCAGGACAGCCAGAGCAAATAGTAAGACATCAGTAAGACATCATCTCAAATAAATAAACGAAACAAAACAAAACCAAAATCAAAGTCACAGTCAAAAGTGGCACGAAAAAGAGTATTTTCAAAAGGCTAACAGTGGTTCTCAACCTGTGGATCATGATCCCTTTGGGGATCGCATATCAGATATCCTATGTATCAGATATTTACATTAAGATTCATAACAGTAGCAAAATTACAGTTATAAAGTAGCAACAAAAATCATTTCATGGTTGGGGGTGGGGGTCACCACAGCATGGGGAGCTGTATTAAAGCATTGCAGCGTTAGGAGGGTTGAGAACCACTGGGCAGGGGAAGCTGCCCAGGTGTCAGAGTGCATCCTGCTCTTGCAGAGGAGCACATTGGGTGGCTCAGAAACTGCCTGCACCTCCAGTTCCAGGTCATCAGACACCCTCTGCTGGTGTCCGCAGGCACCTGCACTTGTGTACACATGCACACACTCAGATACATCCATACACATAACTAATAATAAGTAAATAAAACATCTATTGAAATTTAGTGCATGGCTTCAAAGATATGTGAAACAGAGCAGGTTACGTCAGATTTCTTTGAAAAGCAAGTGAAAATAGCAAGCTAGGAAATCTGTGAGCATATATTTTGGGGGAGGCAGGAAGATATATAAATGTAAAGATAATTTTTCCAGCAGCATTAGTCATAGCAAAAGACCGAATACAAATCCAAGAATAAAGAACTGAATAAATATGGATTATGAGATGAATACATAGACATTAATGGAACCACTGATGATTAAACGAGAGAAAGAATTCTATTTGCTTGGGCACAGAGAGGATTAACTTTCTTTCATCAATAACATAATAAGTCAATATAGGACTCTTCCTGGGTCTCGCAGGGAAGATGACAGAGAATCTGTTCTTTTCAACATGTCTTTACATTCAAATCTCTTGGTTTAATTAAAGTCCATGTTTGGGCATAAGGACCAGCTGGCTGGTTGACTCTTTTGGAAGGAAATAAAAAGAGTATCAGAGAATATTTCAAACTTTTATGCTGCTACAAATTATAGCAAATTAAGAATTGGTTAATATGTAACTTTAAGAGGAACAGCAAATAGGGACAAGTGTTGGGAATGAACACGATAAAAAATACATTGTATCCATCTCTGAAATTCTCAGAGAATTAGTAAAAGTGCTGTGTTTAAAGCACTTTTAAAAGGTTTAAAGCCCTTTTAAAAGAGGGCGGAGAGATGGCTCAGAGGCTGAGAGCGCCGGCAGTTCTTGCAGAGGACTGGCTTAGTGCTCCCTGTCACCCACAACTTCAGTTCTTGGGGACCCAATATCCTCTTCTGGACTACCCAGGTACCTACATGCATGTGGTGCGTACAAAGATAGGGAGGCACATATAAAATCATAAGAGAAACAGCAAAGGTAAAAGTTTTCCTACACGGCTCTTTTGTTACCTTTATTTTTCCTTGTTGTGTTGTTTTGAGACAGAGTCTCAAAGCTCAGCCGACCTCAGACTTGCTATATAGTTGAGAATGACCGTGAACTCCTGACCTCCCTGGTTCTACCTCTCAATGATGAGATGAGATTAGGACCTATTCCACCAGACCTGGGTAAACAGTTTTGTTTTCAAGTATCAACATTATTGAAGTATGATTCCTGTACCATACAGTTAATTCATTTAAGATAAACGATCAAATGGTTTTAGTGTCTCCATAGAGCTATCCTATTATCACAATTAGTTCTGAAATATTTTTATCATCCCCAAAAGCCTTCATTTCCCACTTTCCCTCCGGTCTCCCTCCTACCCTGCAGCTAGACACTCCCACTGGCATTGTCTCTATGTAGCAGTCCGCATTGGGCTTTTCCTACAAACAGAATCACAGGACGTATGTGTATGTAGCTTCCTTCACTAAACTGAGCTAATTTACATCATTTCGTATGTCAGGGCTTCACATTCATTCCGCTCTACGATTCTACCACACTCTGGCTATCTGCTTGTCACTTGGTGTTGTATGACACTCTTCCTGGGGGGCTGTGAACAAAGGCTTGCTCCCCAACTGACCACAGACTAAAATAAAGATATCACCAAACTCTAACTTGGTGAGCCAATGAGTCTGACTGTGGTGACTTACAGGAATACGGGCGAGGGGGTTACAAAAAAGAATGGCTCAATTACAGGTGCATCACCAAAACCCACCCCAGCATGGGTGACCAATCGTGACAGCTGGAGCCCCCCGGGGCACATTGCACACCCCGCAGGCAGATCAACAGGTTGGAGAGTGTCTTTTCTAAATAGCTCTGTTGGTCCCAGTCTCTTCCAGGTAGCTTGTCTGGTGTAGTGATTTTTGTTTGTGCCCTAACAAATAAAGCTTTTCTGAAGATCAGAGTGCAGAACTAAGCCATGGAGGCCAGGCAGTGGTGGCAGAGGACCCTGTGAGTTCAGGGCCACCCTGGGCTCCACTAGATTGATCTAGTCTCAAAGAGAAACAGCTCAGATCTTTGATCCCAGCACTTGGGATCACATGCCTTTAGTCCCAGCTCTAGGAAGGTGGAGACTGGAGTGATATGGCTGGGTGGAGAGAGGAATATAAGGCGGGAGGAGACAGGAGCTCAGATGTAGTCTGAGGATGCAGTCTAAGGATTCAGTCTGAGCTGCAGTCTGAGGTTTCATAGAGACAGCAGTCTGAGGATTCGTGGAGACAGGATCGCCCCTTCGGTCTGAGCATTGGTAGAGGTAAGAACTCTCTAGTGGCCTTTGTGCTTCTCTGATCTTCAGCATTAACCCCTATATCTGAATCTGAGTTTTTATTATTAATACCAGTTAGAATTCGTGCTACAGTCTGGTCTGTATTTTTCAGGCAGTTCGATTAGTTTCTGGTTCTTTCAGAAGGTTGGGCGGGTCTGAGAGGCTTCTGGGCAGTTTGAGAAGTCTCTGACTCTTTCAGGTGACCTGTCTTGTCTGAGTGTGCCTCTCAGCCGATCTTATAGTTTATGTGTGCCTGGAGAGGAAAGGACCTAGTGAATCTGACCTGTTTCAGGGAGTTCCTGAAGGCTTTGAGTTGTTTACTTCCTGTGCTGAACAAGCTTCCCTGTAGGTTGGAATATTTGTGGATAGCTTTCTAACTACCTGTTCTTAACATACTTCCTCCAAGATGAAAGGATTTAATTTTGGGGGAAGCTTGCTACTCAACAGATAAGCATTGGGTCTGTTTCTGTTTCGTGAATATTTGCACACAGTGTTTGATGTAGGAACGCCTTTTCCTTTCTCGAACTTCTGTCTACACGAGTGACGTCACTAGGTTTCATTAATTTGTTAAGCCCACATGAAACCTTTGGAAGAAGTAGGCTCTTCTCAGAAGTGACGTAGTGACACCATCACTTTATCTCCCTTCCAGTGAGTGAGGGCGAGTCTGGGTTTGCTCCATCCTTGCCATAACTTGTTAGCACCTGTCCTTTGCACCTGCGGCATTCTGGCTCAGTATTTCCGTGTGGTCTGGATTCAGGTTTCCCTGGTGACCAGTGAGGCTCTGCATCTTTTCATGAGCTTATTAACTCTCTGTAGGTTTGGGAGGTATAGAGTTCTGTCATAAAGTTTTGTTGCCTGTTCAGACCCTTGGCTCATTTTAAAATTGGGTTGTGTGTCTTTTTATATTTGAGTGATAATAGGTCTTTGTAGATACTAGCATGTTATCAGATATTAGACTTTTCCCCCTCTATTCTGTGGGTTGTTTCCTTTTACAAATGATTTTTTTCCCCTTTTTTAGATGAGGTCTCAACATATAGCTCTGGTTTATCTAAAAGTCCCTGTGTAGAGCAGGCTGGTCTTGAACTCACAGAAACCCGTCTGCCTCTGACTCTCAAGTGCTGGGATCATGGGTATGTGCCACCATGCCTGGCCAGTGATGCACTTTGAAATAAAAGCATTTTACATGTTGGTGATGCTCAGTAATCTACTTTTAAAGTTTGTTTCTTGTATTTTCCTGTTTGGGAAATCTGTGTCTTAATCCAGTGCCACAGAGATTTATATCTCTTCTTCAAAGAGTTTCAGATCTCAGCAAACCAGGGTATAATTGTTAAAGTACCCTCCACCCCAGAGGAACATTGGCACCGCGGTGATAGTGCGCTTGGCATCAAGTGCTTTGGGCAACAGGAGGCTGCCACCATTTGTAGCTCATGGGATCTCATTAGTGTTGGGTGACATCATGAAAGCCGAAGTTGCTTGCTAAGTGTCCCGGCGTAAGGGAATCAAGAATGCTGAAACCAGTCATTAAAACTGAAGTTGCAAAAAAAAAAAAAAAAAAACCCAAAAAAACCAAAAAAAAACCCAGTCAAGCAGCTTCATTCTCCATCGCCCACCACACCCTGCAGTAAGTTACGGACCTGCCCAAACTGGTCACCGTGGGTCCTCTAGAAGAACAGTCACAGCTCGGCTATTCTGGTTGTGTGGAGCTGTTGGATTTATTTAGATTTTAGCAGCAGGGGCTGGAGTGATGATTCTGTGGTTAAGAGCACTTGCTGCTCTTGCAGCAGCAACCATCTGTATCCAGTCCTGGGACCCAGCACCCTCTTCTGGCCTCTCTGGGTACTGCATGCACGTGGCTTATAGTCGTAATGCAAACAAAAACGCCTATCACATAAAGTAAAAATTAAATCTTTAAAAAAGGAAAATATTAAGAATCAATTATGACTTTAGTAGTGAGAGTTTTTAAAAGGTGTGTGTGTGTGTGTGTGTGTGTGTGTGTGTGTGTATGTTTGTCTGTGTCTGTGTGTTGTGTGTGCCACTTGTGAACATGGGTGTTCAAAGAGGCCAGAAGGAGGTGTTGGAATCCTCGAACCTGGTGTTACAGGTATTTGTGAGCCAACCAAGTTGGGCACTAGGATGCAAACTCTGGTCCTTAGCTTGAGTAGCAAGCTTGTTTAACTACAAGCCACCTCTCCTGCCCCAGTAGTGTGAATGTGTTTTAATGAGTCAAAAGATGAGGAGCCGCGGCTGGGAGCATGCCTGTAGTCCAGCACCTGGGAGGTGGAAACAGGAGGCTCAGGAGTTCAAGGCCAGCCTAGGCTACTTGAGACCCTGTCTTAAACAAACAAGCAATAATAAAAAGAATAAAAAGGTAAAAATGTATACTAACAGATACCGTGAAACGATAATTATCCAGTTTCACAAAATGAAGAGAGAAAAGCAGCGTACGTGAGAAAAAGGGAGTCTAAGGGCTGACATGAGCACATCTGAGTTGAGAGGGAATGTCCTTGTGATTGACAGCTCGTGAGAGAGTATGGTCAGCTGGTGCAAGTTAAAACGAGCAGTTCTCATACTGGCAGGCCCGTGGGGAGAACTCAGGTGCAGCGAAGCCTTTCTGGTATGAACCCAAATGTGGTCATTGCCTCTCTATGAATTAAAGGAAGCTCTGCCGCTTTGCCTTTGTACAGGGCCTCCTGCAATATTACGACGATTTATGCCAGGAAGTGCCTTCTGTGTTTGTCAATCTCATGACCCCGAAAATGAAAAAGGTTGGTGACGCTGGCAGCTCATATTGATTTCTCTGATTTAAAATTAGATTCCTGGTCTATAGATTATGGATCTCAGAGCACATCTCCTTGCCTAGACCATCTGTCTTTCTCATTTCAACTTTACAGCTTTCTCTCTCTCTCTCTCTCTCTCTCTCTCTCTCTCTCTCTCTCTCTCCCTCTCTCTCTCTCCCTCTCTCTTTTCTTCCCTCCCTCCCTCTGTCCGTCTCTACCCATGGGATGATTTCTCATCTAGGTTTTGTTACCTTTGGAAAACGAGTAAATGTGAGTTGTGAGTGCTTTGTGGGGATTTATGGCTTCTTCCCGGACCTCCGAAGATGATTGAGGGCAAAAGGCATCTCTATTAGGTGTAATGGTGGGGGAATTTAATTAAGGAAATACATCACCCAGTATTTCCGAGTAGCAGAAGAGGCTCCCCTGGAAGAGACGCCCCTGAGCGATGGGAAACGGAACCTTTTTGCTCTTCCTAGGTGGAATCTGTGCTGAGGCAAGGGCTCACCATCCTAACGTGGTCCTCGTTGATGCTGGAGAGCTTCTTCCAGGAGGTGGAGTCCGTCTTGGATATGTTCAACCAGCTTTTAAAGAAGGTAAAGCAGCCATCTTCCAGAGTCACACACGCTAACACTCGAGATATAAGCAGCGGTTTAATCACATCTGGGGTCCCTTTTTAAATCAAACCCAGAGGTATGGTTTGGGCTGGAGAGGTGGCTCAATGGTTAAGAGTGAGTCCCACTCTACTGCGGACCTGCCTGAGGTTCGATTCCCAGGACCTGTGCCTGGCTGTGCACAACTGCCTGAAACTTCATCTTCACAGAGACCTGACACCTCTGACCTCTGTGGCCTCCTGCATTTGCATGCAGGTTCCCATGCAGAAACGCATACATGTAACTAAAAATGCAGAGCATCATAGAAAAGGGTATGAGGTTTTTTTTTTTTTTTAACCAAAAGAGCTCCATTAGATAAATAAAAGAGTTATGTTTTCTATTTTACTCTTTAAGTCATTTTCCTCGGGGTTGTCTCGTGTTTATCCCCAAGTTTCCCTTGCCCTCAATAGACCAAGTGAAACTTCAACTGCACGCTGTAGTTTAAACTAGGATGCTTGGAAGCTGGAGAGACGGCTCAGGGAGGGATGACATGCTTGCTGTGCAAACATGAGGGCCATGAGTTCAAATCCCCAGCTCCCACATAAGAAGCTGACCAAGTGTGATGGTCCACCTGCAATTCTAGCACTTGGGTGGCAGAGATGGAACCCTCGGGACAAGCTGGCTGGCTAGACTAGCCAATTTGGCACATTCAGAGGGAGAGATCTAGCCTCAGTAATCAAAGTGGTGTGCAATGGAGGAAGACACCTGACATCACTATCTGGCCTTTTTATAGACACACAAATACGTGTGTGCACACCCTGCTTGTGCGTGTGTGTGTGTGTGCGTGCACACACAAACATAGGAAGATGGCAGAGTGTCCTGCCTATAGTTTAACATTTACATGTGTCTGACATGTAAACGACACAGTAGTCTAATGGACGATGGCCTGTTGATTTCTCATGTGTATGCTGCATAAAACATGCCCACCTCTGTGTGCTATCATGGTGTAGCAAACTCAGAGGCTTTGGAGCCAGTCACACATGGCCGATCATCCTCTGCTCTTTATTAGCGGTGTGACCTTCTGTTTACTGCCCTTCTCTGAGCCCTGGTGTCTTTTGTTAGACAGCAGGGGCATGAACGGCTCATTTGTGCAAGATGGGGAACAAAGGGGGCCAGGTCTACTAGCGGTGCTCCGGCCCACGCTGCTGTAGACCCAGGTCATGGTTTCTTTGCCCACATTTTCCTGAACTTGTTGTTCAGGAAATTATGCTTGACCCAGGTTGCAAATGTCTAGATTGAGTTCTGTAAATGGATTTATACCTGCAGTGCAGATTTGGGGCAACAAGGTTCGTGCTAGAGGGAAAGAGAGCTGTTTATTTTTTTACTTTTTGCATGTCTTCTCGGGCGCAGGTCAATGACCTGTGTGAGATGCACATTGACACGGTTCTGAAGGAGATAGCCAAGACGCTGCTGATCTCCCTGTCGGACAGTGGGGCTGCCAGAGTAGAAGACATGCTGACCCTCAACGAGGTACGTGTTCATTAGAGCAAAGTGCCGAGCCACCGGCCTGACATGTGAAGTCACAGTCTAAATGTGTTCATGCCGAAGTCGGTTTTTTCTTTGCTTCCTCCTTCCTCTTTTCCCTCTTCCCATCCTTTCTTCTTCCTCCTAGTTTTTGTGGGAAATAGCCTAAGCATCAAAGACTTAATGCGACTCTAGCTGCTCAGCCCAGGGCCATACCTAGCTATGGTGTACCTAGCTATGACTAGTCATACCTAGCTATGACTTTAAACTGATGGCCTTAGACCAGTGCTGGAGCCCTTGGGACCCTGTCAGTGTTCTATGGCTCCTCCCTCTCAGTCATCCATCTACCTTCCTTCATGCCTCCCCTCTCTCGCCTCCCTTTCCCTCCTCTTCCCTGTCTTCTGACTGGGTTTTCCTTTGTAGCTATGGCTGTTCTGGAACTCCCTGTGTAGACCAGGCTGGTCTTGAACTCACAGAGATTCCCCTGCCTCTGTCTCTTGGCCGTCTGGGATTAAGGACCTGGGCTGCCATGACTAACTGCCATTTTCTTATGGTTTGGTTACACGTGTTTTCTGTTAAGCCACTGAGGAACCTGGGACGCCTCACCTTTCCACGGACCATTAACCCAAGTCCGTTTGGTCTTAAAGCCAAGCTAGGCTTTGCCAGATTTTCTTGGATCACTTCTTTTCCTGTACCCCAGCTGTTTCTTAGGTCAGGCCTTTATGCTTAGCTTCACACTGTGGCCTGGTTGCTTCCTGCTTCCATATCTGGCCATCATACCCAACCATATTGTCACTGTGTCTGACGATGTAGCTTTCCTTCAGAGGGAGTGGCATCCAGTCATCCCAGCGTAAGATCTAACCTCCTTAGCCTCCTCCTCCAATGACATTTCAGTCTGTGGTATTTTCCTTTTTTTATTGATTTGTATTTATACACAGGTACCTAAAAAGTACACAAATCTTTCCTTTAATTAAAAATTTTTATGTGTGTAGGTGTTTTGCTTACATGCATGTCTGTGTACCACATGTTTTCCTGGTGCCTGAGGAAGCCAGAAGAGGGTGTTAGATCACCTGGGACTGAACTTATAGATGGTTATGAGTTGCCATGTAGGTGCTGGGAATCGAACCTGGGTCCTCTACAAGAGCAGTCAGGTCTCTTGATCACGGAGCCATCTCTCTATTCCTCTAGTACACAGACAGTGAAAGTCTACACATGCTCCACCTTATAACTGTACAGCATAGACCTTTCTGTATTCCAAATGGTTCCCCTGTGCTCCATCGCAGACCATCTCCTTCCCCCCGCCCCCTGTAACTGCCGTTTGATTCCTACCACTGTGCATTCACTTTCTTGTTTTCTGATCCCCTCTCCGTATAAATGGTAGAGTGCAGTGCGTGGTCTTTATATATTTTATATAAAATAAAAAATATATATTTATATGTCATATATATATAGATATATTACATAGATGCGACTCACCTTATTCTTTCCATCTCTTGACAGTATATTATTTTGTTGCATAAATTTATTGCAATTTACCTAGGCTGTTGAGGACATTTGGGTAGCTCGTAACATTTGGTTATACCCTGAACGTGTATGTGTGGTTTTGCGGATGTCAGAACTGATCTGGGTGGGTATATATCAGAAAGTGAAATTGTTGGGTCATCGATTATAAATATATTTGGCTGTGGTAGTGTTACTAGAAAATTTGGTGTGTCCCTTCTTGGTTACCTGATGATCCTGGGGTGATTGGGATTCTTAGTCATGTGAATAAAAGATAAAATTGAGGATGGTCTCAAACAGAAGCTCATGGCAATCTTATTAGAGTGTAAAAGGAAAAAGCCCAGAACAGGTACACTGTAAACTTCTGCTGCTTATGGGGCTGGAGAGCTGGCTCAGTTAAGGCCCTAGCTGCTCTTCCAGAGGACCCAGGTTCAATTCCAAGTACCCACATGGCAGCTCACAACTGTCCGTAACTCCAGTTCCAGGATATCCAACATCCTCAGACAGATATGCAGACAAAACACCAATGCACATGGAATAAAAATAAAGTAAAACAAAACAAGAAACCAAAAAAACTTACTTAAAAAAAAAAGTTCAACTGTTTCCCAGGGGAAGAGAGAAGGAGAAGTAAGAGCCAGAGCCCTGGTGGTTAAATCAGGGTGGGGCTCAGCCAGGCACACAGCAGACAAGAAGCCATGGGGTGGGGGCTGGGGTGGGGGCTGGGGAGGCTCTGTAGAGAGAGTAAGGAAGCTCTGAGTACCAGAGAAGATGCTCAGAACAGGGACAGTCTCGCTGGCCCCAGCTGCTGCTGTGGGTTTCATATCCAAACTCCACTTAATTCAAGATGATTAGAATTTGTGTCTTTCATTACTGTCAGAACATGGGCCTGATCCCACAGAATTTTATGTATGGGCCCCAGATATTAGACCTTAAGCTATTTACACTGTTGGGGTTTGGTTTTGCTAGGATCCAGCTGCTACTGTTTTCTGGTTCTAACATGTCAGTAGAAGAAATTATGTAAGATGATTTTGATTTTACAGGAGCCCATAGTTAAGAGACTTTGGATTTTTTGTTTTGTTTTGTTTTATTTTTTGACACAGTGTTTCTCTGTAGCTTTGGAGCCTGTCCTGGAACTTGCTCTGTAGACTAGGCTGGCCTTGAAGAGATCCACCTGCCTCTGCCTCTCGAGTGCTGGGTAAAGGGTAAAGGCGTGCGCCACTACCTCCCGGTTGAGACTTTGAATTTTTAAAGTGAACATGAACTTTTGAGTTGTTGGAATTTTAAAAGGAGTGTGGGACTTTTAAAAGCTGAACTGTGTTCTATGTTTTGACGACATGACACCCTGGGAACCAACAAGACAGGAAAGGTTATGGTTTACTAAGGATGTAGTTGTGTGTCAGAATTGGCAAGGGGTAAATTGTGCAGGTTAGTTTTTGTTAGTTTGACACAAGGTTAGCTATATCTGGAAAGACAGAATCTTAACTGAGTAATTGCCTCCATCAGATTAGCCTCTGTGCATGCCTGTAGGGGCATATTCTTGATTAATGATTGATGTGGAAGAGTCTAGCAAACTGTGGGTGATGCCACACCTGAGCTAGTGGCTCTGGGTTCTATAAGAAAGCAAGCTGATCAAACCGTGGGAAACGAACCAACAAGCAGCCTCTCCTCCATGATCTTAGCTTCAATTCCTGCCTCCAGTTCCTGCCTCCAGTTCCTGCTCTGCCTCTCTCAGGGATGGATCGAGGTGGGAAATGTAAGCCAATACATACCCCAGGTTGGTTTGGGTCAGTGTCTTTACCGCAGCAATAAGACCATATCTACCTCATAAGACCATATCTGTCTATCTCTTCTTGCAGTTCTGGGGATAGAACCCAGGACCATGCTAGGCAAGTGCCCTACCCCTGAGCCCCTCTAGTGACTTTCAGGTGGAATTAATCATAGCTGTAGTGATTAAAGGCATAATAACTCCGTGCTGTCTTCAAGGTGTCTGAACATTAATGGTGATTTGTCTGTTTAATAGACGTATACAAAAGAGTGGGCCGAAATTCTAAACCACAAGAGCAGGCACGTGGAGGAAGCTGTGAAAGAGCTTATATCAATATTTGAGCAAATCTACGAAGTTAAATACACCGGGAAACAAGTTAAGCATGTGCCAGGTAATTCCACTAAAAAATGTTTGAGTCCCAAGAGCTTGTGGATAGATCCCCCCATGGGAACCTCCTACTAGGGAGATAGCAAGGCTTCAGCTTCCCTCAGGGAGACCAGATGTCCAGGATAATCCACACTGTTTGGCACAAACAGCTTAGATCCCATGATCTCCTGGTAGCACCTAGGGAATAGTGGGATCCTTGAAATCCTAATTTTAGGATGCCAGCCATTAGCTGACTCTACAAGCCAGCCTTCCTATAGAGAGACCTCTCATTCCTGCCACGTAGTATTTCTCTCTCTCTCTCTCTCTCTCTCTCTCTCTCTCTCTCTCTCTCTCTCCCTCTCTCTCTCTCTCTCTCTCTCTCTCTCTCTCTGTATTCTAATGTCACTTTGACCATTTGACTCGTTTTACTTTTTTTTTAAACACCTAAGAGCAAAATCTCTAGTTTTCTTGACTCTAAAATTTCTAATTTGACAGGACTGTGTTTTAAGATATCCCCACTTACCCCAGCCCTTTCTGCAGAATCAGCTGTGAGTTCCCACTTAGGAATGCCTCAGGGGTTCAGGGCAGAACTAAATGCTCTCTTGGGTCAGAGCAGTGGCAGCAAATACCACACCACAGTGGGTATCCCTCCCACCCTTGATTAAAGGACGGCCTGAGGAGCTTCACGTCCTTTTGTTTTTAAAGATTTCTTTATTTTTTATTTACATACATGTGTCTTGGTGCATGTGTGTCATGTATGTGATGGCATCGGATCCCCTGGAGCCTGAGTTATAAGTGATGGTGAGCCGCCTGTCACGGGAACTGAACTCAGGTCCTCTGGAAGAGCAGCCGATTCTCCTGAGGGCCAAGCCCTCTCTCAGCCCCGAGCTGTCTGTCTTAAACTTCCAACTCTGTCCTAGGGTGCTGAGGTTGTCTGACTGCGGATGAGAGATTTCCTCATCATACCAAATAATTTTGTGTGTGTGTGTGTGTGTGTTTCCTGTTCTATAAATGCTTTAGGATTTTTAATTTTGCTGAAAGAACCCAGGACCCCAATGATTCCGGTAATTCCCTGTTTGTAAGCCTAAGTCACAAGCTGCCGAATCTGAACCTTTTTGTTTGTTTGTTTTTGTTTTTTGAGACAGGGTTTCTCTGTAGCTTTGGAGCCTGTCCTGGAACTAGTTCTGTAGACCAGGCTGGCCTCGAACTCACAAAGATCCACCTGTCTCTGCCTCCCGAGTGCTGGGATTAAAGGCGTGCGCCACCAACGCCCGACAATCTGAACCTTTTTATGAGGGCTGTGTGATTTTAACTTCCCTACAGGGATTCTGCATGTTCTGCTTCTGGATTGCGGTTTAAAAACATGGTTTTAGGTTTGCTGAGATTATCCAATGCCCTGTCATTGGATAAATTTGCGATGGAAAACTTTTTTTTTTTTTTTTTTTGAGCTCTATGTAAGAACTGACTGGTCAGAAGTTTGTAGTTGGTGGTTTGGCTCTTTAGTCTCAGAAGGTTTTGTCCTTGTCAGTCAGATGCCCTGGTTGCCCAAGCGCCTGCTCTTCCCAGCATCCTCTGCTCAGGGTTACAGTACAAGGCTGGTTTTTATGAGTCAGGCCTCTGACTAGACTTGAGGTGTGCTGCCAATGTAATGCTGAAGGTCTCTGCCTAGCAGAGGTCAGAGGTCAGCTATGTTAGCTAAGTGTCGAGGCTCCTGAAGGGGAGCAGGCATTTTTTTTCAGTGAGATGGAAACATTCCAGTCAGAAATCCCATTGAAGTGGTATTATGGGAAAGGAGGGACGGAGGGAAGAACCTCCAGACAGAGACTGAACCACTGATTGGATGCACCGGGACCATGAGTTTGTCTTTGTAATGAGTTCCCTGGTGTTCTCTATAAGGGGTGAGGCCGCCCGAGAGCAAAGCCTGGACACATCTTTTGACCGATACACAGTGCCGGTGGATGCTACTGGTTTCTAGGCTGAGATTCTGGAAAACATCTTCCAGAATGGCCCTAGTAGCAAAGGATTGTGGGCCAAGAGTGTCAACATGCTAGCCCAGAAGCCCTGATCTACGGAGCGCTTACACAGCGTGGCTGGTTTCCCCTTAGCTTTCCACTTAGCTAGTTCACGTCGGAAGTGTCCAAAGCACCAAAACGGGAGCTCATTCCGTTAGAATACTCAGGTGTCAACGAGTGATTTAGGTAGATGGGATGTGCAGCTAACTGTCTTACGTTCTTCCTTACGCGTGTGTGTGTGTGTGTGTGTGTGTGTGTGTGTGCGCGCGCGCGCGCCCATGTTGTGTGGGGACAGAGGGAAACGTGGGACAGTCTGTTTTCTGTTCCTGCGGGGTGGACTCCAGGAATAGAACTCGGGTCATCAGGCTGCCAACGAGCACCTGTGCCCACTGAGCCACCTCACCGGCCCACACCTGGGATTTAAAAAGTTTTTAAATTTTTTTTTTTTTAATTTTAATTTTTATTTTTGGTATCATCTCTCAGTGGCCCAGAATTCATCAATATGGCCAGGTCAGCTGGCCAGTAAGCCCCAGGTATCCCCCTTTCTGTGTCTCTTCAGTGTCAGGCTTGCGAGCATATCACCATTCTCAGCCTTTTATGTGGATGCATAAACCAGATTCAGGTCCTCCCCACCGTTTTGTTTTGTTGTTGTTGTTTTTTCCCCTCTGAATTCTAAATACAAAGATGGAGTATATTGATGGAATATATTTTTAGTTGAATAATGCATCTTTTGAGATGGCTATTTTAAATTGAATTCTTAGTATAAGGAATATAAAAGAAACCTTCAATAACATTTTTTCAGAGAAAATTTTTTTTAATGAAATTTATTTTAAAAAGGAGCTTCTTGGGCAGTTAAGAGCACTGACTGCTCTTACAGAGGACCCAGGTCCTGTTCCCAGGACCCACACTGCAGTTCACAATGGTTTGTTAATCCAGTTCCAGGGTTTCAGCACCCCCTCCTGGGATCCGTAGGTACTGCGCACATAAGGATTAAGGCTTGATCACATAGAATAAGTGCAACCCTAGACATTCAAGTGTTACTTTTTTTTTTTTTGTCTTCTATGTCTAGAGCAAAGGAAGCATGTTGTTTTTGGAAGTGAGACCGAAGAGGGCGACAGCCTTGACTATGAGCCTGAGGCAAAGGAAGTTGACACCAATGACAAAGAAGATGAATTTAAAAAGGTATTTATTGTGGGGTTTGTGTGTTAGTGACTCAGAGAGATTGTAGATCGAGAGGAGAGAGACTTGTGTATCCCCTCTGCCCATCCCCCACAACAGACATTGAGAAACCTCACACTCAAGTTTCCGTAGGCATTATCGAATATTGAGCAAGCCTGGATTTTTCAAACACACTGTTTCCTTTCTTTCTTTGCAATTCTGCTTTTGAGTCTGCCCTCACGTGGCTTGCTAGGCTGTTTCTGCAAGCGCTCTTTCTTCATGCATTAACAAATACGTGTTGTGTGTTGGTCTAAGGAAACCCAGGCAAACAATGTAGGGTTGAATTTATTCCTCCGGTGTTACTGAAATTGCATGGCTTATTCTTTCTCACGTGTCACTTTCAATATTGAGCCGTTGCTTTGGGGACATTAGGAGTTCATTTCTGGGATTAAATGTAACATGATTTCTTATTACAGGAATGTAAAGAGGTCTATGCTTTCTTCTCTCATCAATTACTGGACAGTCTACAAAAAGCGACGCGCTTATCTTTGGATACAATGAAACGGAGGATATTTGTTGGAAGGCAAGTTGAAAATGTGCTAAATATGTCTGATAAGCTGCCTGTAACAGTGTAATTCAGTAGTATCTTTTATTATTTATCTGTTGGTTTATTTTTGAGAAAGGGTCTTAAGTATCCAAACTATGTAACTTTTTCTAAATGAACAGAACTGATAGTATATATACATATATTATTATTAACACACACACACACATATTATTATTATTAACACCATGGGCAGACAGACAGCAGCATGGAAGGTGATCTGAGCAGTTCAGGCTCCAGCACCAAAGACAGCATGTTAGGGGCTTGGAGGAGAAATCAAGACCTGTATGACAGAAGGGTGGAGGGGTGGGGGAGTGGAGGAGGGTGGGTGGCTGTGGGATGGGTGGCTGTGGGGTAGAGAGCAGTGGGCAGGTGTTTCTTCTGAGAGGTCCCTGAGGATGGGAGACATTTCCCAGCCTGAGTCTGCAGCCAGCAGAAGGCAGGGAAGCAGGTGGGGTGCAGGCTGTGTGGCTCCCCTCTTGAGGCGTTGGTTTCTGGAATAGGTTGGAGAATGGTGATGTGCTTCTTTGATGCTTTTTGGTTGGACAGCTCTCTTGTATGTGGGGAGCTTTTCCTGGCTCTCAGGTCGCGCCCTTTGTATCCTGGCCCCTCCTGTTGTACTGGGTCTCTCTTTGTGTGCTTGCTTGTTCGCTCCTCACTGAAGGAATGGCCACTGAGTGGTTACAAGGAGCTCTCTGTGTGTTTTAGGGCTTTCTCTTTGTGTCTTTATCTTCCTTTCGGTCCCCACTCCCCTCTGGTGCCCCTAAACAGACGGGTGTTTTTGTCCCAGTGACAGCATTTCTTGCATTCAGAAGGAGAAAGAGAACGGGAAGTCTGCATTTTTCAAATAATCTTGTCTAGAAGAGCAATGGATGTTGAGGCTGAGGCCGCTTGTCAGACTAATTCTCACTCTGTCTGTGGGCCCGTGTGTCTGTCTATCCACGAGTGACATTGTTTAAAAAGCAGTTTCTGGAAGGCTTTGACTGGGAAACAAGGTAATAACAAATTCAAGAGACAAGTGGAAACAAAACAGTTGTTAATAAACCGTTCTGCAGAAAGGGACGCAAGCATACAGCAAAGGCAAAAATGGGCTGGCGTGCTGATTTGGCCCAAGACGGTGGTTTTTAAAGCCCCCTGATTGTAAAGTTTCCTGTCCTTTCTCCCTACAGGCCAGGACTTGTCTCTGTTCCAAATTCAGCATCCTTTTGTTTAGGACATTGAACTTTAGCTTATGAACAGCTTTTGGCTCGGGACTGCCCCTTTTCTGAGGGTGGGCTCTATTACAGAATACCTGCAGTAGAGCTGGACGAGGGGCCTAGAGCCTTGGGCTTCCCTGCAGCTGGGAAGAACTTTAGCACGCCTCATACTGAAAATGGACCATCGCAATCTGTTTCCCCCATGTCTCATCATGTAGGAGTATCTATTAAAAAGTGCGTGAGCCTGGGTCTGGTGGCACAAGCTCAAAATCCCAGGTACTTAGGAAGTTAAGGCATGAGACTCATAGCTTCAAGGGCAGCCCTGGGCAACTTAGTGAAACCCTGCCTCAAAGTAAAAAGAAAATGAAGCTCTATAGTAGAGTATTTTCCTAGCATACACAAAGGCCTCATTTTTAACCCCAGAAATATAAAAAGAAATCATAAATAAGTAACAGAACATAAAGTATGGCTTTTGTTGGTGTTAGCCTCCATTGTTAAAAGCAGCAGCAGACAGATTCAACAGTTGAAGCGAGGGTTATTGAGGGTGAGGAGACATAGACACAGAGCAGACGCTGAGAAAATGACCTTCGTAAAGCAGAGGGGACTCGGAAAGTGACAGACCCAGTCTTCTCCCAAGGGGTAGGGGTTTTAAAGCCTTTGAAGGCTTTTCCTCCTTTGCTTGAGGGCTAGTCAGTTTGAAGACCCAATCCAGCCTGGGCCTTGTCGGGCCAGTTCATCAGCAACTGGCCTGCTGGTGGGAGACAAAAGCCTACAAGGCCTTTGTTCCAAGCTGCCAGGCTTTTGTCTCAAGTCAGGAGGGTGAGGAAAACTCCGGCCATCTTGGAAATTCGCCACCTTTATTGTCTAGTCTTGGCCCCTCTCCCTACCTGGGAGTCAGCCTGTCCTAGTCTCTCAGAAGAATGCCATTTAGTAACATTGTGTGATTAGTCATTACTGAGAGGAAGCAACACTCAAACCCTAGGAGATGTATGGGTGATTAATATTCTACTTCTGAGAATATCAAATTGAAGCTTTGTTTTAGTTCTGTGCAGTTTGCGGGTCTATGATAAATAGCATTCTTTTGGTATAATTTGGTATTTTAAAAGTACAGTACCCTTTTATTGATTTCATCACAATTTCATACATGTAAACAATGTACATTGATCATATTTACTGCCCTCTTCCTACCCTCCCCAGGAACTTCCAACACTCCCCCTTCCTGTCTTCATGTTCTCTTTCGTTTGTCAGATATCCTGTGAGTCGTGTTGTTTTGTTTTTCAAGACAGGGTTTCTCTGTGTACCTCTGACTGTCCTGGAACTTACTCTGTAGATCAGGCTGGCCTCGAACTCACAGAGATCCGCCTGCCTCTGCCTCCCGAGTGCTGGGATTAAAGGCATGTGCACCACCACCGCCCGGCATAGCCCGTGAGTCTTGTCAGTGCTAACTATGGGATGCTGACTGCTGTGGATGGCTTGATCTTACGCAGGTCTGGTGCAGGCAGCCACAGGTGTGGAGAGTTAATGTGCCATAGTCAACTCATGTAGAGGACAAAGCACTTCCCAGCATTCCCCACCCCCCAGCCCTTACATTTATTCTGCCCCATCTTCTTGATGTTCCCTGAACTTAGATCTGGGAGTGGGTAGTGGCGTTTGCTCCAGGATTAAAGATGGTTTTTATTTTTAGGATGGAAACATAGAATGTTAGAAACAGAAATCCAGGCTAACATTCACTGTCTGTTCATTTTAGCCACGGGCGGAAACGGTCAGAGGATATCATTTCCTTTATAAAAACCGAAGTGCATCTTGCAATTCCTAATGTGGTAAGTCATATTTTTGGTGATATTTTGGTAATGTATTTTAAAAACACAGTAGTAGGTGAGTGTTTAGAGTGTGAGGCTTTGGGTCCCCAACATTGCAAAAGTAAGTAAATAAATAAAACTGAAAAATAATTCTGTCTGAGAACTGGACACTTAGAGTAAGACCTTAGTTCTGTGTGTTTTTATTTTAATCTACTTTAAAAGTTTATTTTTAACTTTTATTTTATTTGTGTGTGTGTATGTATACACATGAGTGCAGCCCATGGGGGCCAGAAGAGGGTGTCACATTCTCTGAAGCTGGCCCTGATGGTGGTTGTGAGCCACCTAGCATGGGTTCTGGGAACTGAGCTTGGGCCCTATGAAAGAGGTACACTTTCTTAATCCCTGAGCCTGTAACCAGTCTTGAATAAAAATAAAAAAAGAAAAATGTCACCACGTATATCTATTATTAAAACCTTTGAGCTGAGGTGTAGCTCAGGGGTAGAACATTTGCTTCGTGTATAGAGGGGCACTGGGTTTGATCCCTAGCAACCCACACGTGCACACATACACCCTACTTCTAAATGACTCATGGTGTGTTCCAAACTGGTATAGGCATGAAGGTCTAGTCTGCCATTGATTAGCAAACAGGAATCACCCTACTGTTTTTTTTAGACATTAAAATAAACACCATAGCCACCACAATCCCTGTCCCAAACCCAGCATCATGAGGCACCTCGTTGAGTATTGTAGTGTGGAGTGAGAGGAACCTGCATACTGAGCTCCTGCAGTTCCCAGTGGCAGCTCAGCTGCTGCCTGCTGCCTGGGACTCCAAGCCACACAGGGTAGTCTGAGTGCCATCAGGAACAGCCTGTGACCTCCTGACACCACACCCCGCAGCGTGACCTCCTAGAGGAGAGCTTTGTAGTTGCTGCGACACATTTCAGAGACTCAAAAGGAGTCACAGTGCTCTAACTTGTTCTGTGATTGCAGTCCACCGTTGTGGATTCCTTGACCTTTTGGCCAGCGACGGAGGGTAAAATTGGGAAATCTCCAGGGTGCCAGCTGTCGGCAACACCTCCTGGCACAACCCTTAGCTAAAAGCAGCCTGCCATAGGCTCTGACTGCACATGGGGAGTTGGATGACCAGACTCAGGGGTGGGTTGGGGAGGGCTGTCCGTGCTGGTAGGATTGCACATAGGCTGCTGCTCCCTGCAGGTGATGGTTCCTAGCCTGGATGACATTCAGCAAGCCATCAACCGCATGATCCAGTTTACCCTGGAGGTCAGCCGAGGAGTGGCACACTGGGGCCAGCAGCAGGTCAGACGAATCAAGTCCACTCCCAATACCACCTCTCGCACCGACCAAAACCACCCAAGCACAGGGAAAGGGCTGAAGAAGGAAGAGAGTAAGGAAACCGAAATACCCCGGTAACCCAACATGTGTGTGCCCGTGAGTGCAGATGCTCACAGAGGCCACAAGAGGGCACCAGATGCCTTGAAGCTGGAGCTACAGGTGGTCACCGCCTGGTGTGGATGCTGAGAACTGAACTTGGGACCCTTGCAAGATCAGCAATTGCTCTTAATCACTGAGCTATCTCCAGTCCCCACATATATGTGTGTGCATATATGTGTGTGTGTGTGTATATATATATAAAATTATGATTTTATATATATATACACACACACACACACACACACACACACACACACACATATATATATATATATATATATATATATATATATATATGATTGATCATACACACACACACACCAGGGGCTGGTGAGATGGCTCAGTGGGTAAAAGTGCTTGCCACCATGTTCGACAGCCTGATCTTTATTCTTGGGAACTACTTGGTGGAAAGAGAGAACTGACCTTTGATGTTGTCATCTTGACTTCCAAGTAAATAAATTATATATGTAACCAACCCCCCCCACTGTTTTTTTTAAAGAAGACCCCGTCCATATTACAGTTGATAGTACTTCGAGCTAAACATAGATACTATCTACATTGAAACATCTGCTTTCAGTTTCATTCGAAGAAACCATCCCTGCTAGGAAACTGAAGAACTTTTACCCTGGGGTGGCAGAGCACAAAGACATCTCCAAGCTGGTCCTTCTCCTGTCTTCCTCCGTGAATTCTCTCCGGAAGGCGGCCAATGAGGCCCTGCAGGACTTTCAGAAGTACAAGACACTGTGGACCGAGGACCGGGATGTGAAAGTCAAGGTGTGTTTCGGTGTGTGTGTGTGTGTGTGTGTGCGTGCGTGTGTGTGTGTGTGTGTATGTGTGTGTATGTATGTGTATGTGTATGTGTGTGTAGATGGGGTAGGGGTGAAATGAAGCTATTGGGGATAATGAGAGGACTCTGAATGCAGGGTAAGAACCCAGAAGTGCCAAGCATCTAGCTCTTGTCTCAGTGATGCCCTGAGGCAGTTGACAGCAGGAGGCTCTGGCAGGACTAGGTGGCATATACCTACTCCCTCATAAAGTCCCAATGACATAGTGCATTTCACTCCAGAGTTCCCTTTGGGGGAACAAATGAGTTTATGTCCTGATGGATCATGAGAGACCCTACAATAGCTGCACTGTGAGAGGCTGTACCAGCACGGGTGATCCCCTCCTCATGGGCTATGCACATGAAGCCCCCTTTCTTTAGGCCTTTCCAACATGTTCTCTATGATCCAAGAGACCCTCAACATCATGGGCAGTTTAGGCAGACTTGCATCTGGTTGGGTGGGAAGAGTAGCTGGATACTTGGGGAGGGTCCTGAGACCCTTCCTGTCCTCTTCTGTGAGGGAAGGCCTGCAGTCCACAAGCCCAGCTGTGAGGATGTGTCACAGCCTGGCCCAACTTGCACACAGAGATAGCCATGCGCAGTAGAGACACAACGAGGCTACTGAACCCAGACTAGCCAGTCCCAGTGTCCTGTGCCACTCCTTCAGGCAGACTTGTATCCTACCAGGATAGCCATTGGCTCACAGCATGGACAAGTGTGCAAGTGTGTCGGCTGCTGTTAGGACCCTCCCAGGACAAGGGGAAGGCAATACGGCATAGTCAGTATCCATGTGCACACACATGACTGGATTGCCCTGTGACTTGGACCACCCAGTCAGGATGTATGTTGCTATGTCAGGGAGCAGAGAGCTGAGCTATAATGGAACTAAGGAAGGGTGTATAATGCTCCCTGCTGTGCTCAGGTGTGCCTTTGGGTGTGAATCCACTGAACCAGTTCCGCTGGCTCAGATGAACATTGCTTCCTTGCAGAGAGCCTTGGGGTTCCATCTCCCTGTAGGGAATCCCGCTATTGAGAAAGTGAGTTCTCCATCTTAACTGGTAAAGGTGCGTGTGTTAGACCCCCAAGGACCAAAGGAAGTTGTCGCTGTTGCCTTACCCGACAGGAGTTTTTAGCCAACAACCCGTCCCTGACTGAAATCAGATCGGAAATTCTCCACTACGCCACGTTCGAGCAGGAGATTGACGAGCTGAAGCCCATTATCGTGGTGGGAGCCCTTGAGCTGCACACGGGTAATGTCAATAATGTTACCGGCAGGTCATGGGTGCGGGTTCAAGGGGACACTGAGACGGATTGTTGGGAGTAAGGAGTTATTAACGCCCCGGACAGACAGACCACAGCATGGTGGGGCCTTGGAGGAGGGAATCAGGGCCCATGGTCCTCTATCTTTAGCTCTCTGAGGATGGGGGAGGTTTCATAGCACAGGCCCCAGCCAGACTCTCTGATTCCAAGGCAGGAGGTAGGGAAAGGATGGGGAACAGGACACATGGCCGTCGGTAGCTGCTTTGACACAAACTCACCTCTGTAGGTGAGAAACCTGGGTACCTGGAAATCTGGCAGCTAGGGACTCACAAATGATGTCTTGGTGGCATCTGTAAGGGGGTAGGGCTGCTAGAGGGGGTGTGGCCAGACTGGAGTCTAAGAGTTATACAAAGTAGTATCCTATTTTTACAAGGCAAAGATATTTTGCTTGGAATGGAAGGGACATCAGGCTATGACCAACGAAATGGTGTTTGACTCAGCAAGCAGCTTTGGTATAGTAAATGCCAAGTAGTTCTAGGCCATTCATATTCTTTTGCCCCCCCTTTTCTTTTGTTTTGTTTTTTTCTAAGACAGAGCCTTATTTAGTTCAGGTTAGCCCCAAACTGAATGTATAGCTGGCGATGACCCTGAACTCCTGATCTTCCTGCCTCTATCTCCTGAGTGTTGGGACGACAGACATAAGCCACCACACCCAATTTATGCTAAACTATAAAGCTGTGGGGTTGGAGAGATGGCTCACTGGTTCAGAGGATACATTAGTCTTGCTGGGGACCCAAGTTTGGTTCCCAAGGACCCATGTCACGTGGCTCACCACTGTCTGTAGCTCCAAATCCATAGGATCCAATGCTCTCTTCGGATCTTTGTGGGAACGACTCTCATGTGCACATGCCCTCTGCCCCCATACACACATGCATAATTTAAAAATAAGAAATCTTTGAAAAACTAAAACAAAAAATGTAAACCACAAAGTCCACAATGCGCTGGACCTCCAGAATGGACTAGAGCCAGGGGACAGTGGAAGAAGCTGAGGATACACTTTCTGTCTGCTCCTCCTGCCTTCTTTCAGAAGACTCTGAACTCCCCCTCTACCCCATCCCAACAAAAGGCCTCTTCAGATCGCTTCTTATAGGTCTGCATTAGCTGGGATGGTCAGTCAGGACAGAGTCATGTTGTCTAAATATTGTAGCTACGTGGGTGAGACAGGAGTAGAAGAGAAGGCAAGCTAGGGCCACGGTTTGCTGGGAGAAGCAGCAGATTTCACTCCCTGCAAGGGGCTTCCCTAGAGGGAACTAGAAGGAATAAGCGGGGCCTGATGGTAGGTGGAGGGTGTCCAGAGCAGTGCATGGCGTACCAGCAGCACCATCGTTTAGAGACTCCTGCACAGACTCACGTCCTTTTCCCCGCAGCCAGGTTCGTAGAAGTGCTCTTTGAAATCTAGTAACTTTCCAACACGCTAGCAGGCTAGGCACGCTTCAGGTGACCAGTATCCACCCGTGGTCAGTGAATACTGAAGTGGGCAGGGCGACTGAGGTGCGGAAATCCACAGCACACACAGCAAACTGTTTCAGAGTTCTGTTTTCATCTTTCTTGTCCTCACCAGAGCCAATGAAGTTAGCCTTGTCAATCGAGGCCAAGGCCTGGAAGATGCTGCTCTGTCGCTATCTGAACGAAGAATATAAAAAGAAAATGTCAGACATGATAACATTTATCAACGAGTACTTGAAAAAGTTGTCCAGGCCCATCCGCGACTTGGACGATGTCAGATTCGCCATGGAAGCTCTGTCTTGCATTCGGGACAATGAAATTCAAATGGACATGACTTTGGGGCCCATTGAAGTAAGAAATGGTTGCATCTTGCTTTCTTGAAGTGCCTTTTAAAAATAGAAGCAAGCTTTAAAAGAGTGATTCTGTAATACATTTCTTCATCTGGTAGATGGGATAATCTTTTCTGGTATTGATATCTTTGGGGAAATTATAAGGACTTTAACACCAACCACTTACAGAGGAATATTAACATGGCTTATTGGGTTAGACAATGTTCAGTGTTTGATAGCGACACCAACATGTTATGGGAAGGTATTGACCTCACCCTCTCATATTAATTCTGCTTTGTTAGGTGAGTTATCCAAATAGCTTTAGCTTCATAGGTCCAGTTGTTGGTCTTGCTTATACGCACACACATGCCATAGGCGGGAGAACAGTAAGAGCCCGTGTAGACTCAGTACTCACCTGCCGGAGCTTAGATGAACAAAAGAGAATGTCAGGAAAAGCATTATATTCGTTTCCCATTACAAGCAATGGTGAATTACCAGACTGTAAATTCTCCGTGGTGTAAGACAAGCTCAATGGCTTCCAGGCGTATCCATTTATTACCTTGGTCCTGGAGCTTGTTGGGGATGTCACGGTTTCAGCTGTCACGCGTATTTTATAGCTAACGGTGTTTAGAACATATAGTCGTTTTGGCTTTCAGTGATGAAGGGAACCACTCTAGTTTCCCACTTGTTGTGTTCCCCTCAGACAGCATGCTCCCATGGAGCTTACAGTGTGGGGGGAATTGGTCCTCGCACTGCCTCCTTGTGGTGCCCGTCTTAGTTACGGCTCTGAGAATCCATCAGGGTGGGGGAAGCATGGCAGCGAGCAGCAGGCATGGTGGCAGGAGCCGCCAGCTGAGAACTCCCCTCTTCAAACACAAGCACAAAGCAGGGAGAGCAGACTGAAAGGAGGGAGAAAGCTTTACGCTCCCAGATCCCTCCCCAAGGGACATGCTTCCTCCAGCAAGACTCTGTGTTCTAAACTTCCCTAAAGAGTGACACCAGCTGGGGACCAGGTATTTTAATACCTGAGCCCAGGGCGGCCATGTCTCACTCACACCGCCCGAGTACCCAATGCTGGCTGCTGTGTGCTTCCTGAGCTCTCTTTGGTAACTAATGGTTCACGTTTTTGCTACCTTAAAGATCTTAGTATTTGGGAATTTGGGGTGCTGGTGGCCACCTATCCCTCACTACTTAATAAACTGTCATACACTTAGCTACTTCAGCCAGCATTCTTTGGTAAATCCAACTGCTAATCCATCCCATGACCCAGTCTCCGCTCTCCTGAGTCATCATACTCCTTATAGAGTTAACCCCCCCCCCCCCCGTCTATGTGTGTGGGACAGTGTCCCACAGGCATTGCCCAAAGACAAAAGAGGAGAACGGCAGGAAACAGCTCTGAGGATATTGTCTGAGATCGAGGTTCTCACTGTGGTCTGCCTCCATCTCCACCGGAATGACCTAGGCAATAGTGAAGTGAGTGTTTCCGAGCCTTTGATTCCGAGTCAGTCAGCACTGTGGATGCTGGTGAGACCCGAAGGTTGATTTTGGAAACCATGCTAGTGGAAGTCCCTATCCTCTGTGAAGATGCAGCGTTTTCAGAATGTAGCCAAAGCTTCTGGCACGTTCTTCCTCTGAGATGTTTCTGAACTCTGCCTCTGCCTTGCAGGAAGCCTATGGCATTTTAAACAGATTTGAAGTTGAAGTCACCAAAGAAGAGTCCGAGGGCGTTGATACCTTGAGATACTCATTCAACAAACTGCAGAGCAAAGCTGTAAGCTCACCCTTAATTCTGTCTCTCTATTAAGTCGTGGCTTCCAGGAAAATGCAGTTTGGACTTTTAAAAACTATCACTTATAATAATTTTATTGATATATAGCCTGCTTGCTAGAAGACTGGCCATTTTGAAATAGGCAATTCAGCAGGTTTTTTTTTTAATTTTTTAGTATAGACACAAAATTGTATAAAAACTCCACGACCTCTTTCTAGAACATATTCATTATCCCCCAAAGAAACCCTGTGCCTGTTAGCAGGCATTCTCGCTCTCTGCCTCACCCCGGCCCTGGAGCACTTTCCACACCCGTGGATTTATCTTGTCTGAATATTTAATGCAGAGGGAATCAAGGGCTCTGTGGGCCTCTGTGAGGAGTCTTTCAGGGTTCATCCAGAGCACCCCAGGCACTTCATTTTTTTTTCAATTGCTAATGATATTAAGCATCCATTCCCGTGACTGTTTTATTGGCCATTTGTATATCACCAGAGATACGTATACATAAAGCTGATGCTTGTTTTTTTAAAATTGAATTTTCTTATTGTTAGGTTTTATGAGTTTTTAATTTATTCTGGGTTCCTTATCTCATATGTGACTTGCAACTATTTTCTTCCTTCTTTTGTGGATAGTCTTTTTTTTATTTTATTGATTGGTTGATTGATTGGTGATGCCTGTGCCTGAGTGACCACACTCAGGTCTTCACCTATGCTCAGTGGAGTGCTATCGCTGAGTTGTATCCCCAGCTCCAATCACTTCACCTTCTTGGTGACATCTTTTGAAGTGTTGTTTTTTTTTTTTTAAATTTTAATTAAAGCCTAATCAATTCTGTTTTTTTCTTTTGTTGTTCATGTTTTCATATCATACACAGAAAACACTGGACAATCCAATTACATAGAATCACATCTATGTGTTCTTAGTTTTATAATTTTAGTCTTTACAATTAGGTCGTGGATGCATTTTGGGTTAATTTTTGTCTGTGGTGTAGCAGTCCTCTTAAGCCACAAAGCAGAGAGCGCTGGGTGTCCTGCAAGTGAGTCTGGGTTGCTCGTGGATGTCTCAACAAGTGAGCAGAAATGTCTTTATCCACACCGTCCATGGTGCATGGACTTGCTGGAGAGGAATTACAGTTTTTATTTTTAATACATCACTCAAACCCTCATGCCGACTATTTTTTTTTTTTTGATTATAGGTTTCTGTGCAAGATGAACTTGTTCAAGTGCAACCCAAGTTTAAAAGCAACCTGCTTGAGTCGGTGGAAGTTTTCCGTGAGGACGTTAACAACTTCACAGAAGCCTACGAGATGGTAAATTAAATGTGGGGCACTGCATGTTATAGTGTCTGCGGTGTGGGTTTCTGTGGAATTAAAAGGAATGCATCTCAGAAGCAGGCAGACTGCAGGTTAATGACCCAATATTTACCACTACCCCTAGAGGGAATGGCTATTCCTCTGAGCATGTGTTACAGAGAAAGAAAGCAGAGTCCACTGTTGAAATAAGCAGCGATCTAGAAGGGTGTGGAAGGAGTGGAGGGCCAGGTTGTCTGCTCCTAGGGAAAGAATTTTCCCAGACTTTCTGACAGAGGGCTGGGAGATGGCTCAGCAGTTATGCTTGCTGCTCTTGCAGAGGATGGAGTTAGAGCCCAGCACCCACGTTGTAAGGAGTGCTTGCTGCTCAGACATGAGGAGTGGAGTCTGGGTACAAGCAGCCATGCTGGGGAGCTCACAATGCCCATACTCCTGCTACAGGGGATCTGGTGCCCTCTTCTGGCCTCTGAGGGTACCTGCACTGATATGTACATATTCTCCCTTTACACAGAGATACATACACACACACACACACACACACACACACACACACACACATACTTAGAAACAATTTAAATCTCTCTAAAAAAAAAAAAAAGTAAAGTGCCTTCTAGGTAGAACCAGTAAGCTGACACATATATTGACCAGAAGTAAGAATAGAGATGATATTATTTCTTACAGGAAGGACCCATGGTGCCAAATATTCCACCCCAAGAAGCTAGCAACAGGCTGCAGATATTCCAGGTAAAAACAGCTTCTTCTGTCACATTGACAGGGCAGTATTTTTATATGTGATTTTGAAGAAATTTTATGTTTTATTCTATAATAGAAAAATTAATGTGAAAAATTAGACATGCAAATTTTAGTTGCAGTCTAATTGTGTGTGTGTGTGTGTGTGCGCATGCGCACACACATGCACCTGTACATGTATGCATATACATGTATGCACCCGTGTGTGCGGGCACATGTGCATGCATATTTGGAGGCCCGAGGACAATCTTAGTGTCATTCCCTGGCATCAATGACCTTTTTTTCCCTTTTTTTCTTTCCCTTCCCTTCCCTTCCCTTCCCCCCCCCCCCCTCCGGGCCCGGGGGGGGGCGCCGCGGGGCCGGGCGCGCCCCC